AGTCCTCCTCATATTATATTATCTAGATATACCTACCTATACGTATTATATCCTATACACGCACACATATGTATCGTTTTCTTTTTTTGCAGGATAAATGCTTCTCATTGATGCCGCGCACTACATTATCGCGCGACACGCCTTGTGAAGAGCGACTCGTTTCCGCATGCACGTCGTTTTTTTTCCGAGAATCTTTAGCGGATTTAATAATTTATCCGACGCGCTTAAAACGGAGACTGCACAAAAACCCGTTCTTGTTTCCTCACTTCTTTACGTACTATATAATATGTCTCCGTCCTTATCATCTACGAGTTCCCTCGTCGCTACACACAGACGTATTATTATTTGGTCATCTTCTCTTTTTTTTCCTGACCGATCCATTCATTTAATTTCTTACGGCAGACGTCGGCGATCAACGAAAGTAAATCACACGACAGAAAAATTGCTGTAGGTACTAGATACATGATAACGGACATTAAAAAAATAATAATAATACGCCCATGTCTCATGCACCACGTCAGCGATGCACATATTATTATACATTGCAGGTACCTACCATAATAGAAGCTATTCGCGGCGCGGCATATACCGGATATACGGTCGATCCATTGACTGCGAGTTGCAGACCGTGCGCGCGCGCGTTATCGAGTTATTTCCGCGAATGAGGTTCCGACGAGGTACGTTGTTAAATTGCAATAAAATAAAATAATAATAGACGATCTCAAAACTACCGCAGCCCGCAGAGTTGTAAAAAATTAAAAAAAAAAACCTGACGACCTCCTATCCCGGAGGTATTATAATGATAATTGATAAATGCGGTTTTATGACCAACCGTTTTATTTTGTTTTCCGTTTTTCGAGTTATAACATGCTGTTTCTCTGTTTGCACATCATATACGCGCAATGTAATATCATAATATAATGCTATGTTTTCGTGTGATCAATCACCTACATACTGCCCACGTGATAAGTAAACAATTTCGCTACCCACTGAATTTTAGCTGAGATGATCAAAAAGTTATAAAATTGACTTCTGGAGGCTGCTATATACAGCATGAACACACGAGTGGTTTACTCACATTGTTACGATGAAATATTGATATCAGATTAATTATATTGATACTTCTTGCAACGTCTAAGCTCTAAACTAAGCCCGTTATAATATATATCCACCGAAGTATCGAACGGACACAGGTTTTAGAAATCAAATCATCAATAATTAATTCAATGGAATTAATGAAGTGTGCGAAGGTTTTTAAATGCAGAAACTTGTCTGATATACATAATACGTATTATTGTGCTTGATAGCCTTCGTCATGTCATTTTGTGTGTGGAAAAAATCAAACTGATTAATTATTAGATTTTCGTATTGTATAATAACGCCGAGATTAGCGTGAACAGATTTGTTGGCCTGAAATATACACTGTATAATATGGTTTATATGGATAATACGGAGTAATGTAAACATGTATGTTCTAAAAATCACTCGGACACATTGGTATACACTGTACGCTCATTCAAAACATACTTTTATATATTTTTCTCACATTTTTTTATTCACACAAATTCCGACACAGCCGTACAAAGTTAACCTACTATAATCTGTATAAACGCAAAAAAACGTTTTTCCAAAAATAAAAAAATTAATGTTTAGTAATATTTATAGATAAGTACATTATATATTAGTTATATTATATTCAAATCATTCAATATTGATTACATAATATATTATTTTCTTAACACATATTCTGTTAAAAACTACCAAATTTTCAGTCCTTAATTTAATAAAACGAGTTTTAAAGACAAAAAAATTATCGAATATATTATATTTTAATATTAAAAATTGTATTCAAATGTTGTTAGATGGGTAGTAATTTGATCAAATTTTCATTTTCTGTATTAATAGGATATTTAACAGAATTATTTTTTACAGTATTTTGTTTCAAGTAAAATTCATATTTTTTCAAATTTAAAGAACATTAACAAAAATTGTATAAATAAAAATACTTACCTAACTACAATAATTAATTAGTCTTATAGATTTATAACTATGGCAGCGATATTCAATAATAATTTATCAATGAACAATATAACAACGATTTGTATAAACTCATTAATCATCCCAGAAATATGAAAACTTTAGTTAATTAATTCGATATATTCAAAAATTCAAATTTTGTATTACTACTAAACACATAATTAAGTATTAATTTATACGCCTATTTCAATGCAATACAGTAAAAAATTATAAAATCAATTAATAAGATATGTTTTCTGGATAAGTTGATTTCTATTAGAATTAATGCTGCACATTGGCGTAAAATTATTCACGACAAATTCAATGTTAATACGACTCATATTAGATTATACAAGCTGTTTAAACGAAAATGTTTGGAATGAATTAACATAGGTATACAATATTAACGGTCGTAAAAATTTGAGTTAAAATCTGTGGAGAAAAAATTGGCACTAATCTACAAAAAAATATGCCAAGTGCTAAGCAACTGCAGGTTATTGTATACACCTATGTATATACACAAATTATGATGTAGATATAGCTCACGTGGACACCATAAATATCCGACAATATTCAACATTTATTCGGTTGGTTAATATTTAGTTTATATTAATTACCTATGGGTATATAATATATACTACGAGTATGTGTGTCCGTGGCATGTTAGGTTATTTAATAAGCATATATACTAGTTATGGCGATCGTCAACGAGTATAATTATTTATACATAATATATACCACGTCCCATAACAATAAAATATGCATTTATGCGTGTAACAGTACTGAGAGTGAGCACAATATTATATATATATACGTATAATATACCTAGGAGGTACCTGCGTGTATTTTATAAATTGTAGATGACTTTGGCCGGACGTGGTTTTCCACGCGTGTGTTCTATCTCTATATCTTGACGCATACATTATTAAATTTTACAATAAAACGGCGAATAGACTCGTATTGCTATAACCTAGCCTAACCTGACCACCTAACCTAGCCTAACCTGCCTACCCATATAAAACATATTATTATAATACGTGTGAATGTTGTATATACCGCGTATAGTGTAGATATTGTACACATAAAAATAGGGAAAATAAATTCTCGACCAGTGCGCGGTTTGTCAGTAGTATGTATTATATATTATTATACATGAACGTCGTTATATAGAAATTAAAAAAAAAATAATAATAATTATAGAAAAGCAAAAAAAAAAAAAAAAAAAATGGAAAAAACCGCGAGCTCGCGGTTATAATATCGTCGCGCAAACGATTCCGGGAACAAGCGGTGTACATGCAGCACTGCAGACGGGCTGGACACGGACTTAATTACGTACTGATGGCACGTATTACGGCTGTCGCCATCCTCGCCGGCCCCGTCCCCCGCGCCCGTTCGCCGTACACGCGCAGGTGTCAGTGTGAATACCCTCCACCGCCGTCGCCTCCACCACTTCCGTCCAATACCGTCTACGCGATTTTTTTCTACAACTATATATATACACATATATATATTTATATTTAATATTATTATTTTTTATTTCTTTTATCTCTTTTACAGTTAAAAACGTCTCGCGCGCCATATCCGCCGCCGTCTAACCTGTGTACGGCTCGCGCGGTTGTACCTCATAATATGTTTATAGGTAATAATAATAATATATACTCGGCGCGGCGTGCTGCCGCGGGATGAGGGGAAACAATCGTAGTCGTAGTCGTCGTCGTCGTCGTCGTCGTCGCCACCGTCACTGTCGCGGCCGTCGAAATGACTGGCCGCGCAAGCTCACGGTTTTTACAATTATCTGTTTTTAACGAGTGCGACAAATCCGCGCGCGACGGCGCGGCCGCGTATCATATTATTATCATTATTATTATTATTATTATTATTATTATTATTATTATTACTGTTATTGTGGACACGTATTGACGTATTGTATATGCACTGTTACAATATATTTTGTATGTGAATACGAACGAACGATGATAGAACGCAATAAACACGTTTAGGAATTGGAATTTAAAATGTCTCAAAATTGAAAATGTCAATTAGACCAATGAAGACTTTTTTATACGTAATCTGATATGGACAACTATAGTGTAGATTAGTTTTTACAAACATAGTAAATTAGTAAACGTTGATAATGAACGATTTATTTCAACGTTAATAGACGTGGTTTAGAAATTAGCTTTGTTATGAGTTGTTACTTATAATATGTCCAACAGTAATTATAGTTGTCTCATCCAACGGATAATTCTTTAACTCTTTATTTTTCGGTAGTATGATTTTTGAATCAAAACAAAATTTAGTTAGTAATTTTTATAAATGCATTCTAGTGCTTATTGAGTTTTTTGCTAATTAATCAAAATAATTGATAATTAATTAGTTACACATACCAAATAATATGTATATAAATATATAATCGTCTATTTCTTATTTAGTTCATAAATGTTTTATAAAGTCATGAATTTGTAACTTACCTTATGAAATTATTTAATAATATTTAACCTTTTGACATCAATGTTTAACTTGTTAAGGCAAATTCTACATAATTGTATATAAACGGTTCTTTGTATCATACAAAAAGGAAACGTATACTTTACATAATATTTTATATTGTTTTAGGTACAACTATAGAATTATTGATATTCAGACATTTTTTTTTTGGTTTTTTTTTTTTTAATTTATGATTTATTCTTATTTTTCAAATAAATAAAATGAATATAAAACTGTTGAAATGTTACAATCCTAAATGTATAAAACATATTATAATATAATGTTAAAATATAAAATATATTATTTTATATTATTCACCCGCGCAAATTTAGCAGTATGATAATCACAGTATAGCACTCAGCTCTCCGATTGACGTTTGTGTCATTTAAAAAAAAATAATAATAATAATAGTGATGATATAGTATCACGATAATTATGCCTAAGCCACCGCCTCTAAACGTTATTTTTGATTTTTGTTATTTTTATTTTGTTCGCAGAGTGATGCTAGCGATGGGTGACAAGACTTCTGCCGCATGGCCCACGTGGTGGATCCTCACATTTTCTGTAAGTACCTACTCGGCTACTCATATAATATAAATGTTACATTATTATATTATATCATCGTGTGTGTATTAACAACGATGCTATACTTATCAGCTACCATTACCTACAAATGCACGATTCATTATTATTTTGTTGTCGTTGTTGTTGTTATTTTAAATGCGAAAATTCTATACACATTACTATCAAACCGAAACGTCGCACAACTGCACGTCGTACGTAAGTTAAGGTACTTAACATTGTGGTACCACAGATAATACACTAAGAATCTCGGGGATTTTACAATATATTATTGTTAGATACGTGTAAAGTAAACCAAAGATACGAGTATTTTCAAGAAAAATAATACAGCGAATTAGGATCTTAGTTGAAGGGTATGCACGATGAACCTTTAAGGTATATTATATAAGCTACCAATATGATCTTTAGATTTTTACCTCATCGAATACCTTAGAAGCTTCAAAATATAGATATAAATACTGAAATAAATAATATTTTATTTTATAATTAAAATTTTTTATTTGAATCTACATACGTTACAAACCAGAAATTTTTAAGAATACAATATTATTGTAGTGGACAATAATTATTGTCACTATTGGCATCCATAGTGTTTTAGGATGCGCATGTTGTTAATATTTTTTTTAATTTTGAAAATATCAACTCATAAGAAATATTATATTACATTTTCTATACTTAGGTACAAAAATTAAACTATTGATTCCACGAACTTTTATGTATTAAAATTGGATTTGATATTTTAAATACTTTAAATCTTACGAACAATTTTTCCCGCTTAATTATCTAAAAAAGTATGATTATGTGTATAATATTTTTTATTTTAAAACAAAGATAATTTCTACAAAATGTCAAAATCAATAGTAATTACTGATTATTGAATAATATTTTACAAACAATTTTATAATTACAAAATTATGTTTACTCAGTTTATTAATAAAACCATGTGTAAATAACGAATAGACTACATTTGAGCAAATCGGTGAGACTAGTCTACTTGCAGCTCAATAATATCTAGTAAAACAGTAACATTTTCATGAAAAAAATAAATGCATATACACATAGTAAAAATCTAAGATATTTTTTATTTTTAAAAGTGAATAGTATATAGATAAATAATTTATTCAAAAAAATCAAATAGGTATTGTTACAAATTAATTTTCAATATGCATACTAAAATTCGTTGCATTTTAAAGCTGATTGCGAAATATTAGTTCCGTATAATACGTTAAAAGAAGGATTTAATATAATATTGTTCTTTGTATTGGCGTATAGTATACATAATATATCGTCAATTATACTCATGCAGCAGGTAGGTATATATTACCTAGTCATCTAAATTCTAGTTGGTGTACACACCATATGCGTTACGCATACATCTTCTTACTCGTACATTTATGTACGGAAGGATCCATTTGACAAAACACTCATTATTTCAGGAAACACAATTGTTTTCGAAAATAAAAATATAATATTTTCTTTCATTTAAAATTTTAAATCATTACAAAATTTTTTTTTTTGAAAAATTTATATCTTTTACTATTTTTTTAATAATTTTTAAATTGTTTCACTTTTTGAATGACAGTATACATTTTTTATTTTTTATTTCGAAACAGAATATTATTCGGAGTATTTCGTTCTATATTAATTTTGGACTAGCAGTTTATTAGTTATATACTCATTATTATTTTAAGTTTAAATAAAATAACACTTATACTAACATTTACATTTGCACTACATTTATACTCCTATATAGCTATATAGTATTACTTTATTCTGCTCATCTTAATTTTAAATACTTATGTTTCATAAACTGTACCTACTCATCAAAAATTCGATTTTTATGTATCGAAGTATTCCGAATAAGATCCTGGAACAAGAAGTTAAAATGAGTATTATCGTTAAAATAATCAAAAAATGAAAAAAAATACTATAACTATAAAAAATAGTAAAAATAATTTTTTTCCCAAAACCGTCAATAGTTTTTTTAAGCAACGAATGTCTTTCGTCAAATATATCAGCTTTTATATATAAATATGTAATTTGGGTAGGTAAGTTGGACTGTATTTATATGTATGTAGGTATAAAGTATATATATGACCTGTTAATGTATAATGTATATTATATACCTATACCCGCTTGCATACTATAATGGCTATAATATAGTCACATGTTTTCGAGATGGAATTTTTTTACCGTAAGTACGTATTTTGGGTATGGTAGAAAAACGGGTCTATCACCATATTATATGAAATTATATAACATTTCCTGGCGGAGTATTAACCAAAATCGCCCGTTATAGTGATTATTATACCGATCGTTTGTGTAAACAACTGTGCGCCACCGTCGAACGCGATCCGGCGATACCGTTTTTCGCGCATAAGTCTTGAAGGTCTTGAGCTAAATAGTCGAAATGTCACGTCGGGTCAAAGACATACACGCCACTAACACGCCAACCGAAGAACCCTAACACAGCATATTTATAATATTTGTATGTGGATGCGCTCGTCTGCGCATATAATACACGCACTTAATAACTTTTGAAACTGGTAGGTATGTCCATGAAACGCGATGCGTCCCATTAAAATAGCGTAATAATATTGTTTTATAAAACAGCAGTGGTAAGTAAGAAAAAACTAGCGGACGACGTTTAACATAAATACATAATATCTAAATTTACATAAACATTTTTTTTTTATATTACTGGTTTTTTTTCAAGTTCTAAAACACGGCGAGTTTTAATAATATAATTACACTATATCATTCGGCAGGTTATATTATACGCCCGGGCGTTATTGTTCCCTCGGCGCTCGTTTCCTCTTCACCGTTGTTTTTCTACGATGTACTTATAATAATAATAATAATATAATATGATGATATCTGATTTCGTACAACCGATTACGCGCGATATTCTATACGTACAACTCGATGGTAGATATAGGTAATAATAATATATAGATATCTATGTGAGTAGATGAGCTATTATAAGTCTAACCTAACCACCTACTGTACGCTAAATAATATATGATACGATGTGTGTCTTTATTCGTAAAGCCGTCAGTGTAGTATACAATATTGAATTGTATTATTATTTTTATGACTGCGCGTCTAGAACGTCCATCGTATCATACCGTTATATATTTATATATACAAATGTATATTATAGTCTAAAATACACGTCTATATTTACATGCAAAGCTAGACAAATTGACTATTTTTTTTTTTTTTTAACTAAATACTTAGAATCAATGCTAAAACACATCAAGCAAATTTAATAAAATTGTATGCAATATACACAAAAACAAAAAAGGAATTGAAGTATAAATAGTTTATACTAAAGTAGTTAACAGAAAATATAACAGAAAAGAAGATCTTTCATGTTGATCCTTTTAATAGAAGTCATACTAAAAATATTAACTTAATGACAATAAAATGAATCGACTGATTAGTAACTGCATATCACGGAAGAACTTTTAAACAATTACTAATATTTTGAAGTCACTTTAAAAAAAAAAAATTAACTCGTTTTGTAAAGTTATAAATAAAGCAATTTAACCTTTTTAACTCATTAATGCCCATATAAGTATATGCTACATCATCGTAGTTATAGGTCGTTTCTCTACCCCTCTCTAAATCCAAACAACAACGAATAACTTATTAAAACAATAATAATTACCCTCGACTGGTAAAATTTGTCGTACATACATTATGTAGTACACGCGCGCAATTTTCTGTCTTTTGTTTCGCAAAACTGTTTATTGGGACGGTTTCACAATAAAATAATATCTCGACAAAAAGCGTCCGTAGTCGTTCATTACAGCAGTCACACGTAGGTAGACGATGACAATTATATTCAATTAAACAATACATGTATACTTTATACATATTTTATGTAAGTATTACTATATTGTAGAGACAACGGTAATAATTTTCAACAATTATAATTTTATAAATATTACGTTATTTGTAATATAGCCACTCTGAGATATTATCAGCCACTGCAAATTACGTGGTCACAAAGGATCCTGATAATCGCAACAATAACGGACACATGAAACATAATATATAATATTGTATTTGTATACCAGATACGTTCCATCAATGTACGTTGATCGTTGATAATTATATTTTGTTACCATTGTCTTCGGTTAGGTTAGTCAATGGACGTGGGGTTGATTTCCTCCTTCTTGTGAGGTCATAAGCAGGCGGTTCAAGTCACGTGCTTTACTGGTTACCTAAACTGGTATACCGTTGGTTTTGAATGAAACACACACAACTGGTTTTCATGTACTCCCTATATTAAGCAATGACTGTAATATACGTATATTCTGTGTTAAGTTTTTTTTCTTCTTTTTTATTTTTTTTTCCGCTGTGTTTATAAGATATTATGTTACATAGATACGTTCGTTCAGTGCAAGTTGTGACCGTCAATAGCGTACGTTAAGCTTCTGCTATCGTGATTTATACGCCACGGAGAGAATAAACTATAAGACTTTTATACTAGGTTGAAATGTTTTAGTAAATTATTACAAAATTTATAATGTATAGCATATTAAATTATAAATACTGACGGAAAACACTGCAGTTATATAGGTATTTATAAAATGCTCCACAGAAAAAACGATATTATGCGCATCTGCTATACGCTAATCGGCCCGTTCGGTGTACATTTTTCAACGGCCGTTCGCCTGAACGTCGCACTTTAAAAATTATTTCGTATACGAAGTCGAATCATACTCGATAATATCAATACAATATAATTATTGTATACACGTATAATAACACTCGTTGCGCGTTCCAAACGAATACAAATTGTCAGCTTTCTTTTCCTGCAGTTATTAATAATTAACGTTTGCCAATTATATGAACTCGCTATGTACACGAAGAATGTAAGCACACGCGCGATGTATTATTTTAACATTCAATTGGTATATATTTATGTATATACATTATACATATTATATATATCGTATTAATGATTTCATACGCTCGAAACCAAGAAACAGACTACTGGTTTTTTTTATGTGCTAATTTTCCAATAATGATATACTTAACCAAGTATAATAGTCATGGAAATTCAATAACCTGCAGTGTTATGTACTGCATGCGTGTTTTAAAAAAATGATATTATCGAGATTTATTTAAATATTTTCATTAAAAAAAACATATTTTGTAATGTTAATATAATATTTTATGTTTGAAATTATAATAATAATGTATATTTGAATACTTTTATAAATAATTAATAATATATTATATATTATTATTATTATTATTATTATTATGATCTATCTACAGAATATTGTAAATAATATTATTATCGTTATAATCTGTCTAAATTATAAACATTCATAGGATATAATAATATAATATGTATAGAGTATAATATATTAAAGGTATAATAGTATATAGAAATAATATACAATAATACTAAATAGAATTGTATTCGACACGCTGTGCAATATAAAAAAATTTAATATTTATAATTATACACAATTTTTTCGTACTAAAACGTCATTATGTATTAATTCACCGGAACGAATATATATCAGTTCTATGTTTAAATCGAAACAAGATTATATAATTAATATTATACCAAAGACTAGAACCAAAATCATAATGCTTAAAAATCCGTATTTCGTTTCTAATTCATAAAGCAATTTATAATGAGGTAGTAATAATAGTAATGTACTCGCATTAAGTATTTAATTTTAAACTGTATGGTTAATGATATTGTTTTCTATATACATATTTTAGAAGACCGTTAATTTTGTAAAGAATATTTTTAGTACCTAATAAATACAAAAACCGTGTTTATAATATGTATACACATCGTTTATATGTTTTTACCTAGACATATAGGTTAAAAGAGATAAACAACATCAAAAAACGTGTAAAATCAAGTTCTTCAATATTTATAATTGATATAATTTTCTCGTTATTATAAATAATACATTTTTTTACTATTATTTTCAACTTGCGTAAATGTACGGATAAAATATAATTTTATATGGTGTTTATTAACGATAACATTTCATTTTTGTGCTTTTTTACCAAATTATACAAATTTCACAGTTGTATTTAATAAAATAAAATTTATTTAAAGGACGACGAACGATGATATCGTTAATTAGTTAAGTTTTTTATTTTCCATGGAAAATATTTATTTTAAATTTAACAATGATATTTTTATAACAAGTTTAGTTTGTTAACTAATCATATTATATTATACACACTCCTTAATCCTTAGCAATTTTCTATATTATATTCGATTTTTAAGTTATTTTAACGATAATATTTAATTATTATTTAGTTATGTGACATTTTTTTTTATGAAGCTTATTCAAATACAAGCGTTTTGTATTTAAAAATTCCGTACTCCATAAAGATTATTACTACATACACGTAATTAAATTTTTACCAATATTACCACATTTTTTTTCATAAAACTTGATATGAAAGATTATATAAATTTCAGACAAATTAATTTCACGTTAATTAGCAAAAAAAATCATTGTGTTAAAAATACCATCAATTATTAAAGTGGCCTGTCTTTCAAATTTAACGTAAATACCTACCTAACAATTGATATATACTTAAATTAATTTCAATTACTCACATACTTTATACTTTAATTTTATAGTTTAAGATATTATTATAAAAATAAAAAATAAAATACATTTTATTATACATCTATATAGATTTTAGATATATAATTATATTATATTAAACATATAATATTTAATATACTTTAGTAGGTAGACAGTAAATCTAGATCTAGATCTAGATGAGGTTAATGAACGATCAAGTGTAATAGAATATAAGTAACTTCTTTATAAAAACCATATACACACAGTAATAAAAACATAAAAATATTTGAACATTTTTATTTATCTATTGAGTAAGTACTATTACTAACAACTGTTTATAACTAATGGAAATATGATGATGATATTTGATCACAGCTATAGTCAAACACAATGTATATTATGTGTATTTTTAGTATCTAAATATCCGATCAAAACCGACGATAATAATATTATATATTAGAGAGTAAAATGAAAAAAAAATGTAATTTAAACGTTATCTTAAACCAATTATATATTGATTTTTAGATGATTAATAATAATTATAAGTACCTGTAATCAATTAGATATATTTTTTATAATTGTGGAGTTTATTCTTTATTGTAACAAATTTCTGAGTATAGAATTATACTATTTAATTATTTATGCTATATAAAAAAAAAAAAAAAAAAATGTAGAACTTAAAATAGAAAATAATAAAACATTTCTTTCACTTTTAAAAATTAAAGTTATTTCTATAGATAAAGACTTCCATATTAACATATGGTTTTACTATTGTAAAGTTTTATTGATAAATGAAATTTGATTTTTATCAATGATCTATTATGCATATTCTATTATTGCAAACATAACATTAAATTGTATTACGATTGTACTTTTTAAAATTCAAATCACACATTTTCATCGATCACGTATATTATTCGTTTTACCTTTACAAAATAATCCTGTTCTACTTTACGTATAATCAAATCTATTCATCATATTCTTTTATATAGGTATGTGAAACATTTATGTATAATGTATATAATACATTATGTAGGTATACCCGTAGCAAATACTGACACGAATCAGAAGATATAAATTACTAATTGTAACATGCTTTAATAGTCACTTAAATCTATTCTTTGTATTTCATGAGAACTAAAATGAATTTGTTTACATCAGAACAATAATAACAAATATATAATATACTATTTAAAATATATCAATGTTATACAAACATTTTATGATAATTGAATACAAAAATGCTCATCTTATTAATAATTTTTTTTTTTTTTTTTGTTTCACTTCAAATAATTAACATTAAAAGAAGTCAAAAGCGTAAAAGTCATTTTTAAATAAATTATAAATGGTTACTTCAAAGTAAAAATATGCTAATAAGGGTGTACCTATAGGGTACGAAACACATAATATAAAATTATTTTATTCCACCAATAATACTACAAAAGTTAATTGTTCTTTGTTTTTAGATTAAATTAGACCATATCAAAGTTTCTTATTCATTAGTATTCTTGTTTGCGTATACAACAGTTGATTATTGAGTTGTTTTTATTTTTTTTAATGTATATTATAGCATAAATTAAACGCAGTGTTCAATTAATAGTCTTTAAAAAATACTGGCAACGATGTTCCATATTTTTCATCACTTAAAATAATACGAGTAGAATGTGCAAAAATAATATTAACATCGTAATATTAGTAAAAGAGAATAATTTAGTATGTAAAACTGTACATAATAATTTACATAATTGTTATTATTTAATTGTCACTCACAATTATTTATCGTATACTAATTTTGATAATTATAATTAAACAGAGCATAACATGGCTATTTTATAATGTAATTATTTTTTATTACTATATACGTAGCTTAATTTGACAGTAATTTTGTATTTTTAAAAGCACTTAAAAACTAAAATATACAATCTTATTTAAGTTTTGTTTAACCTAAATTATTTTATAATTTATATTAAATAAATTGAAAAAAATATCTTTTAATCAAATTAGTGTCTACTTTGCATCCTAGTTGTATTAATTAGTCCAAATATATATATATACAGCGTTTATTTAATAATACGTTGTAGTATAATATGGAGCAATACAAAATATTAGAATGTACCTTTTACTTGTATTTATTATTTTAGCGGTATACTACTAATACGCTCGTGACGATAACAACTTTATTTTGCTTACAAATTATTTGAACTGCCAAATAACAGATATATTATATCATATGTAGAATCTTTCTAATACGATATCTACAATTGTCAATTATTGCGTATACTAAATAAGTTATCAGTGTTATCACTTATCACACTGGGCACACTGTCAAACTTCTAATTATTATACCTACAATTTTTTCAATAATTATCTAATTAAATATGTTTTGTCTGCTTAAAAAAATACCTATACAACAATTATATTTTAAAGAAAAAAATGTAAATACAAAGAAGCAAGAAAATTTGTATGATAATAATTAATCTATATACTATATATTATAAGAAAATTGCTAAATCTTGATACTAAACTTAATTAAATTAGAAAAATATTAATCGATTACAAAATCCAAGACTTATTAGAAAAGAAGAAACTATGATTAACTAACTTCAAATAGATCACACTATTCACGCTCACTTTATCACAGTTATCTAATGACCAAAAATGAACCTCCAATTATGTAATATATATGTTGCCTCCCTGACGATAAATCATATTTTCATAAAATGTAAAAACAATTTGTTTTGTGGTGAAAACGTTTATAGTTTTATACAATATATGTTGACTAATATGGGCCACATTTTCTACCATGACTCAAGTCTCAAAATACCTAAATCAGCCCTATCATCCACTTAACTGATTTTATTTCATTTTGCAGTTGATACAGAACGCTATGAGCGTAGGTGGTGGTGGAGGTGGTGGCGGTACCAGCGATATTTGGCCGCTCGAACGACCTGACGGTATGCCGGTGATCCAGTCATTGGAGGTGATGTGTGGCAAGGATCACATGGACGTGCACTTGCAGTTCACACAGCCCTTTGAAGGCATCGTTTCGTCTAAGGGTCAATACGCTGATCCGCGTTGCGTATACGTGCCACCATCCACCGGCAAGACATTCTTCACATTCCGCATAGCGTACGCGCGGTGTGGCACTAAACCTGACCTCAACGGTCAGTTCTATGAGAATACTGTGGTCGTCCAGTACGATAAGGATCTGCTGGAAGTTTGGGACGAGGCCAAGAGGTTGCGGTGTGAGTGGTACAATGATTACGAGAAGACCGCATCTAAACCACCCATGGTCATCGCGGACCTGGATGTTATACAATTAGACTTCAGAGGTAATAGAAATAGCAATATAATTAAGAAAATATTAGAGCGTAGTAGGTACTTAACTGTAAGCAGGAACTATTTGATCTTCATTTTGATAAATGTTTTGTAAATCAAACTTCATTTAAATTCGTTTTTGGAACTTATTTAAAATTAAATCTCACAACATCATGCTATATGTTTATATATTATTATATGCTTCTATTAAATATCCGTATATAATACACTACATAATACAATTATTTTAATTATTAATACATTTTATAACTTTTGTCTGAAATACTAGGTGATAATGTCGATTGTTGGATGGAAATACAACACGGAAAAGGCCCATGGGCTCCACCAGTTAGCGGTATAGTACCTTTGGGTTCTACGTTAACGTTAGTAGTAGCCATCAATGATTATAGAGGTAATAATGAACACTATACAAACATAAATATAACAGTCTATAATTTTAAAATAGTAAACTAATGTACTATGATAGTTCATACTAAACTGTAAATGATGTATCCTCTTTCTCCGAATGCAGTGTTAATACCTTTAATATAATGTATAAAGAATTTTGGAAATTACCAATTTATTTAAAATTTAAACATTAAAATGAAATAATTATATTTTTTAATGTAGTTATATATTGAAATTGGTTTATTAATGTTTTCAAACATTATCAAAAACATTTAACAGTAAATAGAAAAGTTTTTTTAATGTATTTTTAAGGCTATAATATGTCCTAAGGCCTTAAAAATAATGAATCTTTGTATTATTTTTTTAAATAAAAAATAATGAAATCGGAATTTACAATATACTATTGAGCGATATCCGATAATGGGACAAGTTTTTCGGTGTTACGCGCATTCTGTGTTTATATAGCAGAGCGTCTTAAAATATAGTACGGCCATAGAGCACACAACCGCATAAATATATTATAGTATTATTAGTGTACCAATAATAAAAAAATCTTTGATTATGTTATAAACCTTTGTATTGTTATGCCTCCGCAGGTGAATTCGACATGAGAGTAAAATCTTGCGCCGCGTCCGATGGTGGTGGACACGTCATACAGTTGACAGACGACCAGGGATGTGTATTAAGACCGAAAATGATCAGCGGATTCCTGAAAGCCAGGACTTCAGATGAAAGGGCGTCCGTCATAACTTATGCATTCTTCCACGCTTTCAAATTTCCGGATGCACTCAGCGTGCATATTCGGTGCAAAGTGGAAATCTGTCGACACGGTTGTCTGGACCACTGTCAAACGGATGAACGGACATCGGCCGGACATTTATTCCATCAGCAGCAGCAGCATCAGCAACATCAGCTACAATACGGGGCAGTGGATAGAAAAGATCAACAGAACGATCGGTTAGATTATGTTCAAACGGTCGTAGTCAACACGGATCAGCCGAGTGCTCAAGCACAGATCCACACTCCATACGATACCACCAGTCACAACAAACCGTTATCAGGTCAAAACAAGGTACGGTATCAAAACAAATATTTTCTCTATTTTACCACTTACTGTTTTAAATATATGTGTTTATTATGATTGATGTTCTGTGGTTGTTCACTGTACAGTGACGTCACATGAATTTTTCGTAGGGACGCTGAAATATAAGCAGGACACTTAATTTTAGCAAATTCATAATTTATATTGTATGTTATATCATGCGTGTATGATGCTTAAAAGTTCTATACGTCAGGATTCGATAAACGAAACTTTATTTCGAACATTTGCGTATTTCAAAATCATTGGGAATATTTTAGCATATTTTGACATAACGTGCATTTTATCACATTTAAAATTATTTTAGTTATTATTAATAGTTTTGATATAAGTAGCTACCTAATAATTTTTTTTTTGTCTTCAAAAAAAAAACCTATTTGAAAACGTTAAAATACCATTCATAATTACATATAATATAATCAAAATACGCATAGGTACTACGTCGACTTTAAATTATTATTGATGTCAAGACGTTATAATTAATAAAGTTCGACTGGTCGAGTTTAATGAAAACGATTACAATTATCCCGGAGCAAAAATACAGTTTACATACAAATGTGAAATGAAAATTATTCGGGGATGCGATTGAGTTTTATTTATAAATCAAAAAAAAATATATTATAATAATAATAATAATAATAAACAAGCAGAACAAATCGACGCGATTTCAAACGAAAAGGATTTTTTTCAGGAGACATTCAACCGGGACGGCTTCCCGCACGGGCCACGAAACCTGGACGACGACGCCGCGGCCGAACCGTCGTCGACCGGCGACGACAAGCAGCCGCCGGCGTCATCCGCGGCGGACAACGGGACAGCGGGCGATCAGACGGCCGCGAGCTCGGCGCAGCAGCAGAGGCGCCGGCGCCGGCGTTCAATGAACGTGTCGGACGCGGGCAACGCGGACGTGGGCGTCAGCGGGCTGTACGACGTCATATCGCAATCGGACCTGGCGTTCACGCCGGACACCAAGGCGGACGGCGAGGCGGTGACCATTTTCCAGGGGCGGATCCGCGAGGACGTGGTGTACGGCATATGCATGCCCGTGCACGGGTTCGGCGCGCTGTTCGTCATGTTCGCGGGCTCGGCGATCGTGTCCGTCGTGGTGGCCGGGTTCCAGTTGCACAAGTACCAGGTGAGGCGGGAGACGCAAAAGATGATGTCCGTGCAGGCGCACCAGCACAGCGTGGCCGCCGCCGGCGGCGGTTACATCCACAACTCGCTGGCCGGCATCGTGGCGCTGAACAAGCTGATCGCGTCCAAGACGACCGCCGCCCAGACCAGACGAAACAGCTAATCGTCGACTGCTGTATTGATATCATCAACAGTATCGTTTACTATCCACGCGTTATATCATTATATTATCAACTATATACAAGTGTACATGGTACACACTTACTTCGACGACGATGACGACGACCGCCGCGACTTTCGGTACACGCATAAATCACGCGATCGATGCCATCGCCGTTTCGAATCATCGTTATCGCCGTCGGTCGTCGATGTCGTCGGCGTACATTTATTCATAACTTTAGTGAGGCTAAATCGATTGGGGGGGGGTGGATGAGAGGAGGTGGAATTTAGTTTGAAAAATATTTTTCTCTTTACTTACCCGTCGCCGAACCGAAGAGAGAAATATACTTTTATTAATCTTTATTCGGCGGTTTCTTTTCTGGATGATTATACTAGTGCACTATTTATACCTATATACTACTTAACAGGGCTTTATTTTGGCGTGGGGAAAACGAGGGGTCGTTGAACTGGGCTTACAGAATGTTTAGGGGGAGTGGAAATTTTTCGTTTAATTGTCATTTTCTTTTTTCTTTTTTCACTATGCATGACTCCGCTCGGCGATTTCTTGCGGTGAACATTATATTATTTTCATATTTGTTACCGTAATTTATAATAATATTTTCAGTAGTAAAAAATAAATAAATCATAATCGAAAAAAATCTAACTTCCGCTACCAAAATATCATATTGTAATTAAACAACAATATTGTCTGTGTCACAAATATCAGGGAGAAAATTCAAATTATGTAATTGTTTCTTTTCTTTTTTTGACATATAAATTAATTTTGCCATAAAAATTGATCTTTTAAAACTAGTACTTTTTTTTTTTGTTAAATAGGCGATTATTTTCGTTGCAACTGCGAAAAATTCGTAAATACAGTCCTGAATTGTAATCAATCAATGTAATATTAACGCTCCAATTTAAAGTGGCTTAATATGAACAAAAAAAAACATACAATTTACCTAAGTATAATATAGTCAGCCGTCATAAATGAATGTTCTATTTATATTTTATCATAAATTATTTAGATTCTTAAATATAAAACTATCTAGGTCAGCCCACCATAACACTAAATCCATCTCTGAACATCATATTATCGCCATGCGGCATAAAAATCCTCTGACTTTATTATGATGTAATATATAATACCCCGGTTAATACTGATAACAATTAATACTTAAAATTATATATATTTATATTTTTTTTTTCATTTTTATACGCTTAAGAATATTATAGGTAGTATACATAATATAATTGACTATTATTATTATTATTTTATCGTACTGCGTTTGAACTAAGAAAATATTTTTATTTTTTTAATTGGTGCTAAATTAATCTAAATCAGCAATAAATATTTGACTTGAATACAAGATGCATACATATTTTTAATTTTATTAGACAATTCATTATCTTATTCCACTTTAAAATCGCATGATTTTAAGTTTAATTATAGTTGTGTAAATATATATCTAATTACTGAATGATAGCAATCAAAACTAGATAATTTTGTTATATTTTAATTTATTTTAATATTATAGTTTAATATTGTGTAGTCACGAAATTGGCCAGTTTTTCGAAATAACGGTTGAAGTCTTATTTACAAATCTAACAAATTTTATTATCTAGTAAAACCAAAATTTTTTGTGATTTATAAATAAAATTCTTAATATTTATTCAAGTTGTATTTATTACACGGCGTTTCGTATAGGCGAAATATGTACATTCATGCAAACGAATATCTTATTTTAAATAAATACATACTATTGTTAACAATAGTTATATAGTATATTATACTATATTTGCATCTGATTAACAACACCCGTTGGCATTTTTACTTAATAATTAAGTTATTGTAAATATTTTATTATTATTATGTATTTATTATTTATTATATTTAGCGTGAAATTGTTTTGCTCAGCATTTTGAGGGGTGAACAGAATAAAAATGGAATTTTTTTCTTTATCTTAAATAAAACTTGATTATTTTCATCTGAATTTAATCTACTAAAAACTAAATGACTCATACTATTTTATATAATTTCTATTGAAAATAAATAGTTTTTAAAGGTATATCAAAAAAATCAAAATTCTACAAAGATATATCTAATAAATCTTTATTTATTACAAAAATACTTTTATACAATTCTTTTAATTTAAATAGTTCTAGGTATAAAAACAAAAAAAAATGAATATTACTAAGTTATTTATAAAATAATGCAACTATAGTATCTAATTACTTAATCCATTTTTACTCTGAGCCTCACATAATATTATAATCATATATTTTATGGTATAATTTTTAGTGTGTTAATTTTTTATTTTATTATATTTATAAATATTTTGTTATTATCATAAAGTTAATAACTGTATTATGTAAATAAATCTTAAACAATTTTTTTAATTGTATTTTATTTATTATTAGTATTTAAATCTGAACCAAATACACTGTTAACACATATAACTTAATGCATTTTAACATATAAATATATAATATATACCTAAAACTCATGTATTGAATACACGACCACATCCCTTCAACTATAATAAATTATAAATAACAGTTGTATTAACAGTCCTAGCACAATGAACCTATAAAAAATGTATATGTTATCTTATATATTCGCATTTCGCACATTGCATAAAATATTTATATCATAGTTGATATCAACCTGCCTAATAACCGATCAATTTCTCTCTGCACTAAAAACGTCATATTAAATTTCTAACCCAATTAGAACTTGACTTAGAATTAACTAACCCAAATATTAGTTGTTAAATAATTATCAACATTGTCTATCTGTGATAATATAGTTTCAAATCTATGAATTAAGCTTAAAAATAAGTAAAATATTTAGAAAATTTTACCACATGTAGCCGATCATAATATGAACACTTGGTGAAAATTTCAAATATCTATAGCTATTTGGTTTGGAATTACTGCAAAATAAAAAAATATTTTGACGAGAAATAGGTATTTAACGATGGATATCTCTTTTCATCAGAATTTAAACTTAAGATATTTGTAGAAAATATATGTATTTATTTTTTTCAATTTCATAATTCCAACAATAAAAACCTATTGTACTTATTTTTTAAATTTTAAGTATGAACATTAAAAATGTTATGAACTTTACCTAAAAAATAATTTGAACATTTTCGCATTTTTAACGAGTTTGTTCAAGAATGGCAAATAGAATTTTTCAACGTGCCAATTTATGATATGATTCAAAAAACAATTTTCAGATGAGCCAGTTATTATTTTTATCATCATAGAGGATTTTCACTAAATATAAATGAAAAACTAATGATAACAATGCAAAAAATTATATAAAAATGTACCTAAATAATGTAAAAAAATTATTAAATTATTATTATTTGTTAGAAACCTTTTACTTCATATTGCTTGAACGATTTTTTTATGTTTGATTGATATTATGATGTTGCTTACTAGGCAATACACGCTGCCGAATCTTCTTCGGTTAATCTGTTTCTAGTTTTTGAATGTGTAACCTCTAATACAGAAAAGAAACTTTCGCAAGCATATAAGTTGAAGAAAAGATCGTTAACAATGAAATCGCTAATTTTTTGACGGAATAAAAGGTATCTTAGCTGGAATATTATTCCACTATTGTCCATGTTACTACAACCTATAAATTATATTTTATAATAATAAAGATACCAATAAGTCATTGTGAAATATAGACTATCGAAAATCTTCTGCATGCCAACCTAGGCACGCGTGTCACTTATTTACCATCCCTGAGTTAGTTTGTTTTTACTTTTATTTATACCTACTTTATGTACACAACACATATAACCTAATCTTTATTAAACAAATGTGTAATAATAACATAATAATATTATGCAAGGTGAATCAAATCTTAAAATAATTTTCAATGCTTTTTTCGGACATACCATAGATTTTTAGCTTGTTGGTAATAAACTAATAAGTAATTTATAAATATCATTATTCTTAGTGAAGATTATTGATATATTGAATATTCAATTGTTTTATATTCACGTATATTTTATTTATTTATTTATTTAAAATATACAGCTATAACAAATGTCTGCTAAGATTAAAATCTGTGTATTTTAATCTAAATTCTACAATTGTTAAGACTTAACCATAAAGATAACTCCAATTATACATTTTTTAAGATTTTTTTGGAGTGTAACTATAGAAACTATGTATTAAATCCTTATTTAATTCTTAAATATACATATACAGTAAAACCTGTCTAATACAGTGCACGAACCCTTGTTAAGACGGAATCCTGTTCTGTGCAGAAATTTATTATGGTCCCGGCAGATTTTTATAATTTAACATAGGATTAAACCCTTGATAAAACAAAACCTGTCTAACATAAAACGGAAATCTTTTTTTGGTTCCGTAAATCATATATACCTTTAACAAACGGAAAAACATATCTTAAAATGAACAAAAATATTTTTGATTACAAAAGTAATTGCAAACTTTTTTGATTTTGAAAAATTTTGTTGAAATATTAAGTTCAAATGCTTATGAATAAAAATCATTCCTTTATGTCTTTAATATTTTTAAATAGCTATACATAATAATAACTGTTAAAGAAAAATGTGTTAGTATAAACAATGTTCAAGCTTTTTGGCCCAATAAAAATATTTATTAAGATATCAATTAAAGATTTTCAAAGCACTAAAAATTAAATAAAGATAGTTCTAATATAATTTATTTATGAAAGAATTTTATTATTCTATACAATGTATGTTCATTAAATTTCCTTTTTTTTTTTTTTTTTTACCTATTGTTGACTTTAAAAAGCACAAAATTATACATATATTTTAGTTTATTTTTACCATATTATTTAAAATGTTCAATTTCATTGATTCTCAAAAAGTATATTTCACATGAATCTAAATACATTAATTAAGTAAAAAGATATACTCAACTAAATAAAGATCATCAAAAACTAACTTTGTTGTTGATCTTAGATAAAAATTTAAAATAAGCAATTAAGGACCATTTAATGCTCAAAAAGTACTAAATTTATTTCATTATAAATATTATTGAATTATTTGTTAAATAAATAAATAAATAAATATGTTTATATAAACAAAAAAATCATTATAATTTATTAGACACTAATATACAAAGGTAATAAAAAAAAAAAAAAAAATCGACATTTCTAAAATAAAATGATAAACTAGTTCAATCCATCGTTGTATAAATATATATTTAGACATTTTATTTCAGGCATGAACCAACACTTAACAATATAATTGTTCATTTCAATGAAAATAAATATTAATTAATAATATAATTTTAAATAGACTACTCACATATTATTAAAATATTCTAAAAATCTATATTTTAATGAATACATAATAATAATATAAACTAAATAAATATATCACATGCATGAATTTTAAATAATTTAACATAAATTAATTATAAAAATGCAGAACTTAAATGAAAAGTAGATTGACTAAGATCGTTAAAGCAAATAAATAGTTTTTTAAAAAAAACTCAAAAATATACTTGAATAATTTTTTTTTTTTAAAGCAAAATGTACTGTACATTAATATCCCTCATAATTCTACTATTGGCTATCCAATTATATATAAGTGATTCGCAACCAGTGACACTGGTCCTTGAGCACAATATAGATGCTAGGTGGACCAAATATACTAAAATTTTATTCTTTTTTCAAATTTTGTGAAATAATAGTATTCACCAAGAACTTATACAGGTAATTTATTTTATTTTAGGAGATTATGTTTAAATTTTATGATATAATATGATGGCAAGCAAATAACAATAATTAGTATGGATTATGGTAACTAATAATAATAAAATTATGCCTTATTCATCATTGTTATATTGCTGCGAACCAATATAAAACCAATTGTTTTTATTTATTCTAAAATCTAAAATATAAGGAAAATTTAATCCATTTACAATCAAAAAAAAAAAAATAAAAAAAGTTAGGAAACAGTAATTTACATGATTATTAAAAAGCGTATACAAATTAGATAAATAATTTATACAATAATTATAATTATTTCCTAGATGATAAATTACATAATTTCCAGTTCCAAATTAAATTTTAATAGTATTAATTTTTTCGTTTAAAATTAATCATGAAATAATAAATAAACTTTAAATTCAATTAGGTAACTCAAAAAAATAACATTACTATAGTAAAATAATAATAAAAACTAAAAATAAATAAATAATTTAATTATTTAATTTTGAATTGGTATTTTAATATTATATTTGATAAGTTTTAATAAAATACACACAAGTGTAATAAAAATATAACAAAATATAATATAATACTTGTTTACTATGGACTTATATTGAAAACTTAATAACTTTTTGTAGTTTTTTGCCAACGTATACTAAAATACATATTCTCTGGTAAAAGTACACTTGACAGTTTATATTTCTTATGGTAATCATATGTGCTGTGAATACTAAAATGAAAATAATTAAGTAATTTTAAATTAATTTAATTATTAAATAAAATATGTTAAAAATAATTACCAAAATAGAACTTGAATATAAACTCCATACCCTGCGAATATATGCCACCAGGCATGCATTTGAGTGAATGGTTGAAAGAACATTGGAATCTGTTCTCTTAAGATCCTGTAAAATATAGATAATTAATTAAATCTAATCTAATATATTTAGCAGAACTCTAAAAAATGTGTTTATTTATGCATTTATCACATTCATTTAATGATATTGTTCATTTTATTAAATGGATTTTTACTTTTCTTGGTACAATATGGATAACATTTCATGAAATATTACAAGCTTTCAAATAATATAATGACATGTAATATGGAAACTTATTTTTAAGATGATATAAAAATAAATAAATTATAATATGTCAAATAAAATAATCATTTATATTAATAAATAATATGCAGCTTTTATTATTCTACAATAGTAATGAATGAATTTACATATGAGAAAATATTATATCTAATTCATGAAATATTTTCTATATCGTTACTTTTTTCATAACATAAAGAAAATAATTAAATGATTTTTAAATAGATGTAATCTAAACAGACAAACAAAATATAATTACAAAACCGAGGGATTCCAGAATACCCTATTGGCATTTAAAATAAACTGTTATATTTTTAATTAAATTACTTAAAATAGACAATAATCTTAAAGTTTTTAGTTTTGAAAAATAAAATAGAGTAAGTGATATTCCAGAATCTATATAAAATTATTTTGTCAGACTTTTATAGATTATTTAGATGCAAATTATTTAAAAGTTCAAAAAATAAAAAGTATAACTTAAAAATATATTAGTTCATTCAAATACACTGAATAACTTACGTAATATTTTTGCAGAATATATTATCAATATTCCACAAAAAAAACCCAAATAGGTATAATGCTATTGCAACAATAAACACACGTTTACAAACAGCGCATTTAAATTCTAATATTAATTTGATCTCCTGTACTAAAGATATAGCAACTAGTATACCATAACAAACATGTTGCAGTAATGGTTGTGGCCAAGCAAGATAAATTATTGCAAATCCAATACTTATAACTATTAATATTAATAATAATAGTTTATTTGGAATAATCTTAGATTTCATATCATGTTTTACTATTGATCTGTAAAAAAAAAAAAATGAACATTAAGTTAAAATTTTAACATAAAATAAATTTTAAATAAACTTACAAACAATAAACACAATAACATGTTCCCCAAACCATTGGTAATTCATCAAATAACTGCATTTCATACAAAAGTGTCATGTGAAATGCCAAACTGCCAAAACCAACCACTAAAAATATAATTATTTTAAATTAACAAAATATATTTTTAATTTGTTTTAATTATGTTATTGTAGACTTTACATACCCAAAATAAATGCATAACAAAGAAAAAATCTTCGAGCAAATTTTTGTTTTTTCATATCCCAAATACCCCATAATGGAGGTATTATCATCATTAAATTACTGATAGTATTCCCTTCAATATATTAAAAATTATATTTAAGTATCTTATTACTACTTAATTTAAACTACTTACACATTTCAGCAACATAGTAATTTACTTCATAGTTTTTTTCACACCAATCAATGGTAGCTGTAGGTTTACCCCAATAGCCTGTGTTATTGAATTCTTGGAAATCCATTGGTATCTACATAATAATTAAAACACAAATATAAAAGTTAAAATAAGCTCTTATTAAAAAGTAAAGTAGATACCTTAAACATACATGTACACATATAAATATATATATATATATTATATTTAATTCTGAATAATAATTTTGTCTTATATTGTTTTAAATTACCTATAATAATTTGATTTTTTTTTTTAATACATTTTAAGAATATTCAAAGTATACAAAAATGTAGAACTGTTTTGGTTATAAATACTTAAGTACAAATAAGATTTATAATTGTATGACTATAAGAAACACAATGACCAATAAATATTATTTTTATTGAAGATTTTCTACTTTCTAGTTTTAAACACTTCATATCTACTTTGGTTAATCATAATTTATATTTTAAACATGTATTTTGAAACGTGATATGTTTTAATAATAAATTTAATGCTAAATGTAGTTTCAATTATTGTATTGTACATATAGTTATTTCTTTTCAAATCAATATTTAAATAGGGTCGAGTTTAAAATCATATTAATTACAAATCACTAAAAGGCACTTGAATATAATATTCAGAAATATTCTTGCATAATAAATTATATACTTATAACTAATGCAAAGCAAGTATCTATATATTTAATATTTTAATCTTTGAATATAGTAAACACTATTTCAAATATTTCAAATTGAATAAGTAATAATACAACCTCTAAAATGATTTGAATTTATTAATATTTCATATTTGTATTTATGAAAGTATAGATAAATAATCCAATTAAAATAATTCTCACACATTTAAAACATTAAAAAAAAACTGGCTAAAGAATATTATTTATAAATATTTAAATTATATTCAATAGGTAATTTAGAAAAACATCCAGTAATATAAATAATAAATATAAATACTAAAATATTCATACAATAATAAGTTTTTTATAGGATAAACATTTAAAATAGGTACTTGGGAAGATTTAATATTATACAAGCATTAAATTGGATAAAATAATTAAATCTAAGACAGACTTTATAGTTTTGATAAATAAAAACTTGATAATTAAATAAAATAAATTAGTAGTACCTACCCAGAATTTTAGTTTTAATTTAAAATATGAAATAATACAGAAACATAATTTACTTATAGAATAATACCTATAATACTAACCAGTACCTATACACATTATGTTTTAAATTTGAATATTATTAATTATTAAACTGTAAACTACCAATAGATTTAAAATATGGTCCATTAAAACATATATATATACTAAATAAATTACTAAAAAACCTCGTAAAAAACCATATCACAAATAATCAAATATTTATAAATTAATAAAATTTCTACAATAGGTATATAGTGCACAAATTATATCATAAGAATTAAAATAAATTAGAAAAATAATAGTTATTGTTAAAAATACTAAAATACTTACATAGTATATTTAAATGGTTATTAGTTATAGCTTATAGGTATCTACTGGTAACTACCTAATTTTAATTAGATATATTATAGATTCAAAGAATGGCAATTTCGGTGAGAAAATGCACCTTATTACAACTATTGAGAACGATAGCACCGTACATAACCCACATTGTAATGAACATGGTTAGGACTTGGGATCTGTGTTCATTTGCCAAAAACTATAAGCGGTGTGTAGAAAATTTAAAATTCTAAATAATCATTGCGGATAGGTATAAGAACACTACGCGGAAAACTACACCAACGACCGCCACCACCGAGTCACAACGGTGACTGCCGAGTGCCGACTGGCGCAGTGTTGAGAACTGCCGAACTGCGGTCTGCAGAATGCGAGTGAGGACGACCGACGGAAGGTCAGCAGCGGCACCGACTTGTCGCCTGTCCCGTGTCCGACGTTTCCTTTCAATAGTTCGTACTGTTCGACGTTCGTACTACAGTAGACCGTTTTCCCCCGGGAGATAATAGATACCTATTTTACACAATACACAATGTTCGGAAACGTTTCCCGGTGATGTCATTGACACACACAGTGTAGCCACCACGACGGACGACGATATATCGGTCAACGAACGCATGCAAAAATCGTTTCGACGAGGACAATTTTAAGTATTTTATTTTTTTTTCCAAACGAGTAACATAGAGAATATTAAATAATAATAATGCTAAATTCTATATAGTAGGACGCCCACGTCCTATAACTAAAGGGTAGCAGTCCGAACAAATCATTCGACTCCACGATTACCAAGATAGCAAATCCAGCCAAACCGATATGGTTACCGTGCGATCGTTACTCGTCGCGAGCAACATAATATATATTTCATAAATGATTAACTAAATTATCCATCTATTTAATATGTTTGTGGAATGTCACAAGTCTATGTAGTCAATTGTCATTGAGTAGTTGATCGGTCGGTTCGAATGTTGAAACGTCACTCGTCAATTTCACCCTACTGGCGGGTTCGGGGTTAGTACTGTTAGTAGTAACTAACCCGCACACACATTAACTGCACTTCCAAACACCGCAACACCCTCAACGCTATCCGCAGCAATTTTGTTGATTTCCCGCAGTAGTGGTCGAACGGGTTACACGCCGCCGAAGCAGCGCGCTCTCGCGGAATCGACATATCTCTCTATGCGAGCTCATTTAGTCATTTACGACAACAACGCAATGGTAAAAGTCTAGTGCTGCATGACGGTTTGCTCTCGCTCTGCTAGCAATTTTCCGGACACACAAGCACCTAATTCCCCTAGACGACCGTCAAAAATGGCCGTCGCCATTCATATATGATCTCGCTCGCTCCGCACCACGTTTCGTGTCGATTGCGATAACGTCATCTCCGCGTCACGTTTGTCCGTCTCGCTTCGCGCCCGTTTCAATTTCAAAATATGCACAACTTTGGTGGTGGACATCACTCCAACCGTCTTTAAATTCCGTTGTGCAACTCCGCCGCTCTCAAGGCATGACTATCATAGTGTTCCTCATCGACACCTCGGCGTCCATGTGTCAACGGACTTACATGGGTGGCCGGCCGACGCTCTTGGATATCGCCAAAGGGGCCGTCGAGTCTTTTGTCAAGGTTTGTGCCTCGGGCCACTCTCGCGTCACCCTTTTCGTCAGTTCATTTGCCGCCTTAACACGTCGCGATGAACCGATAGCACAAGTGTTTGTTTTATTCTTAATTTTTTTTTTTTTTCTGAAAATTAGGTAAGACAGCGATCTTCAGAGAGCCGAGGTGATAGATACATGTTATTAACGTTTGAAGAGCCACCAGCCAACATTAAGGTACTTATAGGGGATACCTATACTTAATCATGACTTGAATCTTGATGTCTTATTATAGGTGTAGTAAAAATATGTAAACAATAGGTAACAAATGTATTATGATAGGTTGTTTGAGCATTCAAGAACACTTCCAATGTGCTGTATTTTCATATTTATAGTTATTAAAAACATTTAATGTTAAACCTTGAATTTAGTTAATAACTTTAATAATACCTAATTAAACTATCATAATCAAATATTTATTTTTATAAATATCTATCAATTTTTAATTTAATTTCAATACTGATTATCAAAGTGCCATTGTTAGATAGCCTCTTTAAATTTTAATCAAGACAACTTGTATTCATTACCAATAAATTATATTCTTCTGTTATCACTTGCCAAAAAATTGTATAATTTAAAAAAAAATAATTATGAGTATTATAAAAATTTATATAATAATGTTGTTTATTTATTTTTAGGCTGGTTGGAAAGAAAACATTGGTGCATTCATGAACCAATTGAAAAATTTACGCTGTGCTGAAATGACTACTTTGGGCTTAGCACTCAAAAATGTATTTGATATACTAAATATAAATCGTATGCAAAGTGGTATAGATACTTATGGCCAGGGTCGTTCTCCATTTTTTTTGGAACCATGCATCATAGTAGTTATAACAGATGGTGGGCGTTTATCAAATGCATCAAATGTAGTTGATGAATTTAACCTACCTATGACAAACCCCATTCCTGGATGGGAGATGACAAGAGAACCATTTCGTTGGGATCAAAGATTATTTTCTTTAGTGTTAAGAATGTCTGGGACACCAACAGTAGATCGTGATACTGGACTAGTTGCCAATGATACATCTCCTATCGATGCTATGTGTGAAGTCACTGGAGGTATCAAATTTATTTTTTAATTTACTATTATATTTAATACCATGATAAACAGAAAATCTTTGTTATGTTGATATATATACATAATTTTTTTTTTTATTTTTTAGGCAGATCATATTGTATAACTTCACAAAGGGTATTAATGCAATGCATTGATAGTTTAGTGCAGAAAATACAAAGTGGTGTAGTAATAAATTTTGAAAAAATTGGTCCAGAACCTTTACCAATAACTGACAAAGAAAATGGCATGGATATAGACATTGGTTATGAAGAATTTGGAAAAATAGGCTTTGGAAATACTGACCATATAAATCATCAAAATGGAGTATGATAATGCAAATAAACCATAATATATATTATCTGTGACTAATGTAAAATTTGTATTTAGAATAAAGTGAATGGTATTCCCAATATTGTTCAATCTCCTTCCAATGCATGGCATAATTGTCGTAAACTAATTCATGTTCCAAAATCTGCTCAAAAAGGTTTTCCTATGGGATTTTGGCCTATACCTGAATCATATTGGCCTGAAAATACCATGAATTCTTTGGTATTTATTATTAACTACAATTACTTATATTTTACATTTAAATAATTACAATTTTTAATTCCTTTAATAGCCACCAAGATGTGCTCATCCAACAGTTAAATTTTCTTGTGTTAATCAAGAACCTATGGTGATAGAAAGTTTACCTTTTGACAAATATGAATTAGAACCATGTCCACTTACACAATTTATTTTATCGAGGAAACAACCTACACTTTGTTGGCAGGTAATCAGTATAAAACTTAATTATTATAATTTAAAATTAATCAACTTTTATTGTTTTAATGTTTTAGGTTTTTGTTGCTAACAGTTATAAAACTCCAGAAGTAATGCATCCATTTGGTTATTTAAAAGCCAGTACAACCTTATCCTGTGTTAATCTTTTTGTATTGCCTTATAATTACCCTCTACTATTACCTATTCTTGATGAACTGATCAAAGTGCATAGATTAAAACAAACTCCTGAATGGCGAACTCAATTTCAAGCATATTTAAGAAGTACACCAGGATATTATAATGCTGTAAATTATTTAAAGTATTACTATTTATTTAGTTCTTAACTAATATTAAAATTAATCCAATTTATAGCCTTTAAGAAGAGCATTAACAAGAATGGGTGTGCCTAGTACTGTAGTGACTTCATTAGTACCAGACACTGCAGACAATGCCTCATTAAGCTACTCTGTTTTAAGTTATTTAAAACGACTTAAAACCCAAGCCAAAACAGAATATGACAGGTATTTTTTGTTTAACTAAAAAAAAAAAAAATTTTAACTTACTTATGCTAACAATATACTTTTTATATAATAGATTATGCACTGAAGTTACTAATAAACAAACGGCTAAAACAAATTTAAATTTGGCTGATTATGTCCGTGTTAATCACATATCATTGCTCAAAAAAGATATGACGACAAATCCTCTATTACAAAGTAATATATATATATATTATTTAAGTTATTGTTAATTTTAAATAAATTTTATATTTATAATTAATTTTAGATAAATTTATTCATCTGCGAGAACAATTAAACGACTTTAATAACTATGTAGTAGGTACAGCTAAAAGAAAAAATGTAGAATGTAACAAAACCGGTGGTTCTGGTTTTCGTAATCCATTTGACATATCAAGAAGTAAACTTTTAGAAGTAGTCAAAAATATGCAAACTAATTTTTCTCATTTTTCACAAACCAGATTTTTTGAAGATGGTGAGTAAATTAAAAATTAAAACAATGTATTTTGTTTGATTTATATTTTATTTAACATACATAATTAGATCTGGTGCATTCAATGCCTGTAAGTCAAATGGGTAATTATCAAGAATATTTGAAACGTATGACATCACCACTCAGAGAAGTTGAATCTATGCCTGTTCGACAACATATGTTTGGAAACCCTTTTAAAATTGATAAAGTTAGTGTTACATATAAAATTTGTTCTTCTATATATTTTACAATAAGTATTTTTTTCAACAGAGAATGATGGTAGACGAAGCTGATGTTGACATGGTTGGAGCTGGAAGTGGATCATCAAGTCCTAGAACTGGATCAAAAAGAGCATTAGATAGCAGTCCCGCACGAAGAAAACCTGGGCCTTTACCACGACATGTGTGTGCATCACCTAGACCCAGATCACCATCACCATCACCACCACCATCACCTGCTCCTTTCAATCCAATTAATTCAATAATTGAAACTCCACCTATACTTTTACCTAATGGAGGAGAAACAGGTTTGTCTAGAACTATAATTTTGTTTTTGTTTTTTATTTCAATAAGAAAACATCATATTATAGACTAACTAGAAATAATGCATTATTTAATATTTTAACATATAAGTTAATAATATTCAAAAAATAAATGTAGTAAAATTATTTTATACTTTAAAACTAACTAAATATTTACTAAATTTATTGACATATATCATTAGATGTTTTATTTTATTACAATTTTAGATGAAGAAACTCCAATTCCAGTTAATGGTGAATGTTACCCTAGAGCTATGTGCCCATCACCACCTCCACCCATTCTTGAACCATATGAAAATAACTTTAATGATGACGCTGATGATGACGAAATTGTGCCAAACGATATATGTAACCATGTTCCAGTAATTCCAGAAGGAAATACTGTTCGTCAACACTTATTAACAATTACTGCTAATATGAATCAAGAAATCGATGAATTATCCAAGCAAGAGTTGTTAGACATTAAACAACACAATGCAAAAGTTAGGAAACTTTTATTCGTTGAAGTTAAACGTCCTGGTCAAAGTAAGTATAATTCATATTTTGATGGGGCGTCATTCGCCTTCTGAGAGATTGTGAGTAAATAATAAATATATATAGTATAAATAATATGTATATTTTTTTTACTAATAAAACAATGTATTTGCTTTTTTACATTTTCCTTTTCAGATTATACAGCATTATTCCATTGTTTGAGTACATTAAAAGGTCCAGCGTCTATCCAATTGACTTATGTTAATGACATTATTGCTGAAGCCCTTAGGTTTAAGAGAAAAAAATTAGTTAACAAATTGGAGGAGTTTAGAAAATCATATATGCGAATTCCAGCTGCAGCCAGATGATAAAAAATAATAATAAGATATGGATTTTAGGCCTTACTCTTATTATTTTTTCCTCTTCTTTAATATCATGTTGATTTACTGATATTATCTGATGTGTGAAAATATAACATCTTTGTCTAATGCTACAGACATACAAACAAATTTAACAACTATTTTTGTAAAAAAGATAAATTGGCATAATTTATATGATGGAATAGGATAACATTAATTAGTTCCTTTTCTATTAAACATCTGTCTTCTACTTTTTCATGATACTATTGTTATTTTGTAAAATGATATATACATTTGAGGAAATAATTTTCATTTCCATTATTGAATGTTTTTTATTCAATCATTTATAATTTTTTTTTTTTTTGCTTCTTGCTATCAATTAAACCAGTTACCCATTTTGACACTCGGTTTTCAACAAAATCAATGCATTTTTATTTCTCCAACTACTCTTAAAATACCTACAAAAAATTGAAGAAAAAAATATTTTTTTACAAGTGGTGCTTAATTTAGTGTAAATTCTATTCTAAATAAAACATTTGATTTTTTAAATTAAATTTTATACAATTTTATGACAAAAAGTATTACGCAAAATTATTATTCTCTATTCCAAATAAGAGCAAACCTTTTTCATGTACATATATTTAGGTCCTAAATAATGTCACACCTCTGGGCAAATGACTAGCTGATTTATATTAGCTATCCATTGTTGACATCACACTGTAGCAATTTTTTTATGGTGGGGCAAAAATTTGCTAACTGTTGCATGGTATGATCTCATTTGGAGTAGAGGATATAATTGAAAAATTCAACAAATAAACGACTTAATTTTTATTAATTATGCTGTTTAGTACAATCAACTTTGTATGTATTGCTTAAGTTAATAAAATCAAAGTTACTTTAATTGTTAGGATTTTCAATTTGAATATTATTTAATTATATAAATAGAAATAACTTAAAGTATTAAAATACATATAAAATCAAATATTAATTTCAAATCAGTAGTTATTAATTAACTATTATTCTTCAGTTTGTGAAAAAGATGAAAGTAATTTTTATGGATAAATATTTATTATAATAATAATGGTAATAGATTATTTTGGATTTACATAGGTATATATCTGATTCATACAACCAATATTATATTTGTTATAAAAAATAAAATTACAATGTACAGTAACATACACTAGAAGATAACAATTTATCAGTATATATATTTTAGTAATGATTGATTACTAATTAAATTGTTAGAAATTTATTATAGGTTTTATTTTTATCTATTATTTTCCATTAAAAAAAAAAATATATTTTACTTTTAATTTATTATGAATATGAAACAAATCCCTGTGGTTTTCATTGAAGAAAATGGAAATTAATGAATTTAAAAAGTACTTACTTAATGTTTATTAAATATATCCATCAAAAAAATTTATCAATAGAAATAAATATTTTTAAATGTAAAAATAAATCAACTTCTAAATAATAATATGTAACAAATTCAGTTATTAATATCATAAAACACATATAACAATATAACAATTAAAACTAATAATTTAAACAAGTACTCAAAATTAATATATACCACTTACCCAACTTCAATTAGACCTTGTTTTTCAAAATAAACCAAAAAAATTAAGGTTATCTTAAATAGAAAATAATAGGTATTAAACATAAAATATTGCTTTTGTCCTTTAATATGCTATGCCTGGTTACTTGGTTATAAACAGCTCAATATTTTTGAGAGACTTGAGTCGAATGTTATGTTATTATACATAAAAAAAAAAAATACTCTATTTAGTTTTTTAAGAGTTATTAAAGTATTCTATAGAAGTGGACTTATTTAAAAGATCTAAGACTTCAGCCAAATAAATTTTATTTTTTTGATATTAGAGTAAATTAGCCTATTATCAAACTTAATGTAAGTACTTCATACTTTTAGCATAAACAGTATTTATGTTAGTACTTTGAACTTAAACGATGTTTTAATTTTTAAGCTAATTTATTGTGAACATGTGACAAAATAAAAATACTCCCATATTTTGTCGCTTAAAAAATACAATTTCGTAAAAACTAATACAATTTAAATACTCCAGATAATGTCCTTAATTTTTAGTTTGATACTTGTTTGGTCAATCAACAAATTTGATGTATTACTAATAACAATTATGCTAAATATGACTAAACTTAACTATTTGAATTTAGGCTTGAGTCACCTACGTCTTACAAGTTTTATTTTTATTCGCTCGCTTACAACCAAAAATATAATGCGCCACTGTATAGGTAATATTAGTCAACGGCATAAAAGTTAAATTTTATTTAACGTATAGGTACCAGTATATATGATATACATTAGGTTGATTTTTGAGCTATTTCCGTTATAGAAAATCCAATCATAGCTTGATTTTCCAATGTTAAATTTTAGGAGGTAATGCTGAAAACCTAATTTTAACATTTAAAACTACTACTTTTATAAGTATGAATAGAATAATAATTAAAGTACCTATCTAGTTTTACGATAAGTTACAAAAATTAATATTTTTATATCTACCAACCAAAATAGTAAGACAACCGAAATAAGCTCCAAAATATGAAACACGTGTGTGTATGGAACTGTTTTTTTCCAACGAATAAAAAGGAACGATACATTTTTAACAACTATCGTGAAAAAACATTTAGAAATAAATAGGAAATATAAGTAATAGCCCAACTCCCTCCACTTAATTTTTTGTCATTCTTAAACACATAAATTAATATGTTGATACTTAATAGATAATAGATAAACTTGGTAACATGACGAAATAAAGAGTGATATACCTACCCCCCCCCCCCAATAACTTGAAACATAGTGCGTAAATACCTATAATTTTAATTATGAATTATTTTTTTTATTTTACCATACAGGTTATAATAAGTAAAGGGTGGAGTGTGATTAGAGCAACCCATAATTTTTAAATCGAACTAGATTGATTTTAAGCTTAATATAAATATTTGTTATAACAAAATGTATTATGACTGTAATATAACTTAACCTAACCAGTTTTATTTTTAACGAATGAATCGTGAGCAACTAAGCTAAAACTACATTTAATTAGATGTCAATACTTTCTTCCAGTATTTTTATTTGAATGAAAATAACAGCCCTTAGGTTAATAATTTTTAAAATATTATGTAAACATTTTTAATTACCTAACTAAAATGTTTTAAGTACCTAATTGATTAACACATAACTATTATGTTTATGGGCAAGTGCGAACAAAATTCTATTAAAAATATTCAGTGAACATTTTAAAATCTCTGCAATAGATATTTAAAAAGTATTAGAAATTTTTTACTTTTTACTAGTCTTTAACGCAAAGTATACAAATATAATTTTTTCCATTATGACAAAAAGTAATTTAAGGATATTTACCGCTCTCGTTAGATATATTAAACATTTTTCTAATAAGTATCTATTAATTATTATATCAATAATTAATAATATTATTATTACAAACTTAAAAGTATATTTAATAAATTTAATTCATAAGTAAAATTTATAATACCTATGATACTTTTAAGCAAATTTAATTTTTCTAATTTTTGAAGCAGAAAAATCTTGAATTATTTCTTTTATACTTAAGTTTATCATCAATATTTTAAGATATTAACTATCAAGTATCTACAATAACTATTAGGTACCTAAGCCATTAGGTAATATCTTTAAAAGTCTATTCTGGCCGTAAGAGCTTCTTATTAAATCATTTAAAAAAAAAACCTTTCTATACTTTCTAAAATAACAGAAAGCATCAAAAATATATTATACAAGTCACTAAAATTTAGATTAAAATAGTGGAATATTACTAGGTACCTATTTAAAATTAAAAAAAAAATCAAATATCCAATAGGTAGTATTCGCCATTCGGTTGATATGTTTTTACTAAAATCTAAAACCAAGTAGAGTATAAAATATTATATTTTAGTTTATTATAATTAAGGTCAACTGCTCTCAAACAATGCAACTAAAGGCCCTAACTTAAGTTAGACACAGTATGTGAAAATTAAAAATATTATTTACAATTTATTGTAATTATTTTTGTTAAATTCAACTTGAATTTTATAAAAATAATTTCATTTGTATCGTCTATTAATACACTATTAATATTTCAATTACAGTACCTAATAATAATTTTGCGAAACATGGTCACTGATCAATCACTGTTCACTAAAAAATACGAAAAAATCGTCTAGTTTTATGGCGGATTTATGGACCAATCCTAAAATACGATACACACAGATAGTATGAGAAAAAATAAAGTAGTCCAGTAGTTCACTAAAAACCCTGTACTTTATTATGACTTATGACTTCTAAGTTATGAGTAGACAACTCAGGTGACCGAATCTTGTCTGGATATCAAACGGTATGTTTTTAAGAAATTTTTATTGGAAAGTTAAATAAGAAAATATAACCTAAAAGGTTGTTCTAAACAACGTTGGTTTGACCGAAACCAAGATGATGTATTCAAATGCATCCGCAGAATACATCAATAGAAGGTAGGTAATACATACAGAATGTAATAGATGTATGTAGATGAAAAAAGAAGTAGAAGCATCAAAAGTTTTTCGAAATAAAGAGAAGAGTTTATATAACGGAGTAACGGACTATTTTTGTGATTACCTAACTGGTTATCAATGTTAAGACTTTGTATTATTTAACTATGATATATCATTAACTATTATGTTCCTAATCTATAAGTTAGGTATACGTTAACATTGCTGGTACCTATATTGCTATATAACATACATTTAGATAACATTACACACACGACAGTACGTCAGTACGACACACAATGTCTCGGGATCGATTTCACAGCTTTATAAACTTAATCGTACCTATTTGTCGAATATTTAAATCACACCAAAACCAAACTATTTAAATTGGTTATCAATGGATAATGATGTGAATAAGTTCATACTTTCGTAACATAAATAGATAATACTACACAATTAACCAAAATGTGATTATGAAAATATTAAATACAATAATTGATATTAGATATGCATACAATTTTTGTGTTAAAGTCCCCACGAATACTACTTTTGAGTTATAACAAAATATTAAATAATTAATTAAAATCGTTCATTCTACATTTAAATACTTAATTTTTTCTAAACTTATGCTTCTAATATCTATAAAATATTTTATTAAATTTTCAAATCTTACATATGAAAATAAAATAATTTATGAATTTCAAACCATGAAATAATTATCTAATTTTCAAGATTTTATGAATTTTATCAACATTTTAACTTCAAACCCTTATAGAAAATATTATTTTTATGTATTTTTAATATCTTTTAATTAGTAAATAAACAAATTTTGAGAACTTGTACTACATCTTTAAGCATTTTGACCCAAAGAACACTTTTTTATTAATAATTATGGAAAAAAAATTAAAGTTGAAATTGTATTTAAATATTTAATAGATTAAAAAGAAACAAAATATTTTGAAGATTATACTATGTGTTGAAAATAATAATATAAATATTTGGTGAAAATACCAAGTTCTCATCTATGGTTTTTATTTGAAGAACATTTTTTCGCCATAAGAGTACAAATAAAATCAACGTATTTTAAAATATGGTCTTTATAATAATATATTATTAATACTAAAAATTTCCAAAAATTAAAATTTGAATAAATTTCTTAATAGATAAAAGAAATGTGGTTTTATGCTTGGTTATTCATATATATATCTAAACATTAAATGGTATAGACTATAGAGTCATAATATGACACATCAATCAAACCCACTCCTTCCTTATTATCAAAGTATCAGCCTCTACATGTGACATATTCAATGAAAACCTTACAATCACATTGTGACCTTATTTCAAAAGATCATTGAAACACAAAAAATCATAACCAACCAAGCCTCACTCTAACACACACTTAATGAAAAAAACACAAAAACAATATAATTATTTTTGCATAACACAAACTTAAGTTGAAAATTGTAAATAATGTTATTTTGTTTTATCTATAATCATCAGTATAAACTGTGCCTATATCAAAACTAAAAGTAGGCTAATTGATTAACAAAAAAAATATATAATAAAGTATGAGGTGAAATGGCCAGAATGTTTTCATTATCATATTAAGTTGTATCACTTTGAATTGAGTTTCAAATACATGTAGCATTGTAGCTATATAGGTACTATAAATTAATAGTAAAATAAATTTTAAATCAGATGCCATGTTAAACTATAGATTTAGTAAATCTAATTTGTAGTTAAACCAACATAAAGTATGGTCTTCCCACCATACATATTATAGAAGTTTCACTCATGTCTCTTACACCCATCATAGTAATAAGCCTGAATTATAATGAAAATGTATAAATATTGCTTAAAAATTTAGTAAGATGTAAAAAGTTGTTGAAGACATTAAAAGGTAAACAGGCTTACCTCCTACTTGACTATTTGATAAACATTTATTCAACACTCGAGAAAAAATTATAGTTGTCTATAAAGTAAATCATATGAATACATAGCATTAATACAAGTATGACAATTAATAAATATGTTTATACATCTCGAAAAAAAAATGAATATGTGATCAACTTTAAAAAAATTGCATGTGCTTTCCGTAGACTGTTAAAAATGTCCATCTATAAATCAATATTTTCTTTGAATGTAAAAATTATTTTGAAAAAAAAAATCAAAGGGAATCCATCACCCATTCCCACTCACTTTAAATACTCTATTGTTAAATATAGCTAATTCTCAAAATGGAAGGAAAAACTATCCGAGAAAAAAACAATTTCAATAATATCCATAATTTATATAATTAATGAAGTATGTTTTGTATATTATAAAGCATTTATATATCTATAATCAAATTCTTTTTTTTTTTTTGTATTGAACTTAAGCCCAACAACTAGGTTCATTAGCTGTTTTGTAGGGGTTATGAACTATGGTAAGGGGTAAGGTTGGTACGGTAGGTTGTATTTTACGATTGTTACGGTTGATAGCAAACACGTGTATAAGTGGCAAAGTTTTTTAACCACTATGATCCCGAGTGGTCACTTATCCGGGAGCTAGTAGCTGTGGTTGTTACTTACTCAGCCATATTCTGCGACTGGTAGCAGCCAACACGCCACGCCAAGCCACATCAAATTCTTTTTGTGAATATAATAATTTATCATTGTTTTTATACTCAATATTAAAATTCATAATACCAATAAAAACCACCAATTTCAGTACTTCCCATAACAGATTTTTATTTTTAATCTTAATGATTTTATTATGGCATTCCAAAACTAAGTGCAATTACTGTATTAGTAATTGTAAAAATATAAAACAATATAATTATTATAATAATATAGTTACTGTATTACTTTTTTTTTTAATTGGTTTATTAGATAATATTACTAATCAGCTGTAATAAGTAAGTAAATATTCACACATTTTTTACAAAAGTACATGAATTATGTGAAATATTTATAAAAAAAAAAACCTTTATTATCATACAATATTTTTAGAAGTATCTCCCTTCTTTCAGTATAACGTGAATATAACTATAATATATAGGTAATATGATTTGAAATACTTAATGTTGACTATTAATTATTAAATAGATGTTTATATAACAATAAAACTAAATAATAAACATTAAGTATGTTTGATAAAATTAAATATACATAACTATTTTAATCTTAATCATTATTAAACTATTTATTAGCATTCAGCAATATATGAATATATGTACAATAATATAGTTAAACATTATTATCTAAATGATGAAGGTATTCAGTCATAATGTACATCAATTATTTGTTTTTGAATAATATATTAAATAAAAGTGATTTTTATTTAAATAATTAAAAATAATAAACTTATAAATAGAAAACCACAAAATTGCATTAAATACAATTAAAACTAAAAAACAGTTAAAGTATCTAAAAAGTATATAAAACTCATCTAAGTCTCTATATAGGTATGTGACTCTAAAATAGAGATAATAAATACATTATATTATGCATACACACAATATAATTACAGATAAATAAACTCAACTATTTGTAGGAATCATTGCTTTAATGATAAACAAAATCAAATATTATATGTGAGTACTGATTAATAATTTATATCTATGATGGAATCAACAATTACCAGTTAATAACATAATTTTGATAACCTTATCTGCTGTAATTAATTAATTATAAACTCAACATGTTTTAGGAAAAAAGTTCAAACATTCTTATACAATTTGAACTGTTTACCTAAAATATGCCTAAAAAAACTTAAATAACTTTGTACCAATGCAATCAAATAAAGAGATATTCAAGACATATTCTAAGTGAGTGATTATGTTTAAACTGGACGATTAATTTTAGGAAATATTTATGTACAATTATTATTAACATTAATTTTATCAACTAAAAATATTTAAAAACACAGTAATATATATTTATACATATATGTATTATATATGGTCAATAACCTATATCATTTATATCACAAACCATATAACAAGTAATTTTTATGAAAGAAAAAAGTAATAAACATAATTTATATTATTGAATATTTAACAATTCAGTTTGTTAAAAAAATTAATACCGGACCTACTTTTATAATATTTAAAATATATTACATTAAGTAAATTAGTTTTAAATGATTTGTATCAATTTGTATGTTATCATAATGTTACCAAAATTAAAAATAATTTAAAATGAAAGATAATAATACCAAAAAATAAATAAATTAGTCTTCTTTTCAAACATTTTTGTAATTCTTAAGAAAATATTATAATCAAATTAAATTTGATTTGATACCAATATTTTTTACATGGTAATAATATAATTTAATCTATTTTTGGTTATATTATATACAGGTTAGTTAAAATTACACTTATTTTTTTTTAATGTGATATGAATTTAATGTTTAACATTAATACTTTTGATGTGAATACATTTTATAACTTAAAACAGTATCATCATAATTGAATATACATTTTTTTTATTTGCAAACAATGGAAAAAAAATATATCAACAATTTTATAAAAATTGGTTGAACTTTATAATATTTAAAAAGGTAACTAAATAAATAAAGAATAAGAAGATAATAATTTAAAATATACCATGAAGTAAAAATTACTTTTTAATGTTTGGCCTTGAAGTATATTGTTAAATCAGCTGAAGATTTCCAAATGAAATGTTTCAAAGTCCTTAAATCCATTGTAGGAGAAAGTATTTGATCGTTACAACTTAATTCAAAATTTTTCTCTGGTGTATTTCCTTGTAGATGATTACTTATGCAATCTGAAGTTTTATTATATGGACTACTTCCATCATTTTCAGATAACTTTTCATGGATATACTCAGCTATTTTCTGGACTTGAATAAAGTCATTTGCCACTAAGCGGTCTCGACTTGGACGAAGAGTACCACTATAAATGAGTTTTTTTTTTTAAAGTTATTAATAAAGAATATTAAATATATTAATAAATATTAACATACTTTTTTACAGGCCTAATACAAGTATTTGATAGAGGCACGAGATAAAATGATATCTTGAGGGCTTTAGGTATACTTTTTTCAACAATAACATTCATAACCCAAGAAGGAATAGTTTCATTTAAAATTGATACATCGTTTTCATCTCCAGCCTGGCTGACTAACATTCTATACAGACAGCGACCACCAACTTCACTTATCATAAGTGGTGTATGTTTAGGAATTCTACAACACTGAGAATCTAATTTTGTCTGAGCATTGAGTTCTGTAGACTGGGCTCCATCAGAAGATCCATGGTCTGTTTGAATACGATTAAGCCAATTTTCTAACAGTGATCGCAACATCCGATTTCCATAATTTACTAATAAATAAACACAAATTATATATCTTAACTATTAGAAATTAAATTAAATGAATACTATAATTACCCCTTAAATTATCATCTGTGACATTAATTCCTGCTTCCTTAGCAGAAACCCAAGCCGCAAAACAATCATTTTCATCTTGTCCCAAATGAATTGTTAACATCTAATACAAATTAAGAAATTGCCATATATTTCAATTATATTATTTCTTAATTCTTATTTAATTAAATACTAATATAAATTTAACTAATAAGCAATACAAAATAAATATACCCCTGTTTTTAAATCAACACTAAACCAGTTTGGTATATATATTACACGATGTCGTTTTTTTATTTCTTCATCAAAATCGACTTCACCTAAATCTTGAAGTTTAGAAGCCTACATAATTAAAAAAATATATCAATTAAATAAATTAATGTATTAAGATTAATTTATAAAATAATAACCTTAAGGACATCATAAACCGCAACATTTTTTTCTGTATCTTGTGTCAGTATAGTTCGTTTATCATTCAGTACATGGTATTTTCGTATAGCAGCAGCTCCTTTAAGTGTTCTAAATGGTTCTTGATTATATGGTTCTGTTGGAACATCCTCAAAATCAGCTGTTTCATCACTTTTTTTTAATCGCTAAAATTTAAAAAAAATAAAATATTATTTTTTTGAATACTTATTATTATAGACTTTCTATTTAAATTAACATCATAACAAGCAATTTTTTTTATTTTTAACATTAAATTATTTTCAAAATTAATGCTCACCCAGCAATTAATTGAGGACTCAGATGTGGCTACCCAAATAGCACTCATATCAGGCGTTGTAACCATTTTCACAACTGGAGCAGACTCATTACATATAAGTTGAACCCTATTAGGATTTTTTAAATCTGTCATATAAATTTTTTTATCACGACCACCAGATACGACATGGGAAAGATTTTCAGTTGCCTATGAACATAAAAAAATAATTTGAATTGTATATTATTTTATGAAATAATAACTTAAATTTAAAGTAATTAATTATTACTGCTAATGCCCAAACTCCTTCTTTGTGAATTCTTAGAGTTTGAATGCATTGTTGTTGTCCTAAGGACCATAATTTAATAGTTCCATCTGAACTACCCGATAGGCATTGTGTACCATCACGATTTACAACTAAAGCTTTTACATTGTCTGTATGACCTATTAATTTCATCATACAGTCACTTGTCCTTGTGTCCCATACTCGTAAGACTTTTTCTGTACTTCCACTAATTAAAACTGTACCACTATTGTTCATTGCCAAACTGTATATAGAGTTTTTGCTACCAGGCAGGGAAGCCGCTAAATATATAGTTCAATAATTAATAATAACAAATCTTTATTTTATGTTATAACTCTTAAATAACGTACTTGTAACAGTATTGTTAGTAGTAGTTAAAGTAGTCAACATATTAACATCCCACATAAATATTGTCTTGTCTAACCCGGCAGACGCGACTACTTCTTTATCACGAGCATATGCTAAAGCTCGAACATAATCTTTATGAGTTCGTAAGGTTGATAAACAAGTATTTTCTTTTCGAAGTCCCCATAATTTAACAGTGGTATCTGAACTTGCAGAAATTACTGAAAACACAATATTTAAATTAAATTATTATATAATAGAAAATAAGAATAGTGGTAAACATAGATCTTGAAAAAATTTGAAGATAACAACACTTGCTTCAATAACATTGAGATATTTTTTACACTTATTAGATATTTTAGATATGTTAAATATAAGATTAGCAAAATCATTTTAAATATAAAAAATCATTAAGCAACTTACAATAATTTCCACCGCAACATAAAACAATATCATTAACCCAATCAGTATGATGTTCTAATGACCGTAAATATGTAGCTTCAACATTATCTCGGACATCCCATTGTCGTATTATTCCGTCTCGACCAGCAGAATATAATATTCCTTGTTTGGAATCTAACTGCAAAGAATTAATTCCAGCTCTATGTCTACGTTCTTCTTCATCACGAATAACAAATGAAATCTATTATTGAAATAAAAAACATATTATTTTAAACATTGTTAGAACGTTAAGTTAAAACATCAAAACATCTATATGGATTAAAAAATAAAATCATCATTACTTGAACTTTTTTACGCCCAGGCTGTGCAAGACAATTTTTATGTAAAGTACTCATTTTGTGCTAAAATTATAGTAGAATTACAAATATCCAATGCATTTCTCTGTAAATTGATCGAATCGACTATACGATCATTAAAATATAGGCATTGATTATATCTCTTCTTAGAACAATACTTAAAATTATTGTTCTGTTTCTAAAAACCATTAAGTACATTCCGTAAACAGTATTAACTATTGAATACCGATTGGCGATAATAATATATTTATTTAACACGTTAATATGTTATGTTTGCAGAACATAATATGATTATATGACAAAATTTGGAATTGTTAAATAATAATATAAAATATTATGAATAATAATTTATATTATTAAATATATTTTATCATTTAAAATGTAAATACAATATTAGGTGATAAGATAAGATCAGATAATATCATGGCTTAAAAACCAAAATATTATCTGTCAATTTAAATTTCGAGTATTTCGTAAACTATGGTAGAATCATAATGATTAATGACCATACAATAAAAATAAGAATGCACGTTAAAGATTAGACTATTCACTATTTAGTACTCACTATTAAGTACCAACATCGATTTATAGACTAGATTATAAAATATTATATAATCTATGGTACTACCTTGTAGCATAGATTAAATATATATAATATATTATTTAATCTATGATTGTAGTTAGAAATGTTAGAATGAATAGAATGATAGAATGTGTTCTAGTGGAGTACTCAATTATGTTCATAAAAAACGGTTTATTAAGGACGAATTGGTAAATAATATTTTGAAAATAATCCTTACTTTTTTGAAACGTATTTCAAAACAATTTTTCTCTCCACGCTAAAAGTTTAGTTTTAAAAAACATACTTTTGTTATTTACTCCTAAGTTATCAACAAGAATTATTTACAAATTAACTATACTGTATAATGTATAAATAGGTAATATAAATTAATTCATATGGTGTAAATATTTTCAACAGATTAGAAAAACAATTAACAATTAGCAACATTTATAATTACATTTAATGTCACTGACAACTATTAGAATTTAAAATACATAATAAAATAATATACTTAATGCACACCATTCATCCTAAACTTTAATATTTATATTTTTTTTTACGAAAAAAAAAATTATAAGACATTTTTCATTTCTTTTTAAATATTGCTATGGTTATTATGATTTATGAATATATTCCAGCTATCCAATAAACTCCTGGATTTTTATCAGTATCGTGAAAATCTCGATTAGTTCAAAAACTAAAATTGATTTATTGGGGGATGGAGTGTCGTGTAAATTTAAAAATTAGGTTTGTATGTTTATAAAAAACAGACGTGCTTTAATATAATCTCGAAAAATTAATTTTATTTAGAGTAGGGCGAGAAAAACGTATTTCTGGCCACTTCGTGTAATATTTATCTAGCTAGGAAATCAGTCTTGCAAATTTCAAAACTATAAGCTTGCATGTTCACAAGAATGGTGTACATTAATCGTACTATATTAATTTCTATAATAGTAAATTTTACCATGAAAAGGTAGAAAATACACATTTCTACCCATTTTACGAATTTTTGATTTGTCATGTATTAGAGCCAAGAAGGAATGGAGTAGTGATAGTAGTGTCATGTCCTTTTTATGCCATTGACATTTTGGATAGGTACCTACTACCTAGTGAACGGACCAATTCGGTTAAGTAGGTGTCAACATCAATATCACTGTTATGCAATAAAGGTATCAATGCCAACAAGGCCGTCAGACTTCGATCTTTTTAAGTTTTACCACTTAAGTCGTTAAACTATTAAATTTCTCTCTGACCAAAATGGAACATCAGTAATCATTAAATATTTATCTTTGGTTAATTAGATATTACAATAATATAATAATGCATATTCATTTTAAATAGGTTTAAAGGTGAATAACATGATCATTACTATCATAATTTTAAAGATATCTATCATCTTATTGTATTACAACTTACTAAGAACATATCTTTAGTTATCAAAAAACATGTGAAGAATAGGATTAGGTTACTACATATTATTAATAAAATGAAAAAACAAAAAAAAAATTGTAAAACATTTAATGTATTTAAACCATTTTTCTCAATAATCTGTTAATGGTATCTTCACGGTTTCCAAAATCTCCACCTTCAACATAGTGATTGGTCTTCTTACGCCAGCCTCCAGTTGGGGTGTTTAACTACAAGGATAAAAAAATAAAAAGATTAATTATAGGAATATAGAATCAAAGAATATTTAAAACATAAACTAAATCTTGTTTAATAGTACATAATATCTATTTATATAGATGCAAAAATAGGAAAATTATTATTTATCAATTAATAAAAATGGATTAAAATTTTTTTTTTGTATAAAAAACAATTTTTTACTGAATTTATCATAATTTATAAGAAAGATATTATTTAAACAATAAGAATATTGAAAAATAAAACATATCATTTCATTATTTGCTCTATGACAACTTGGAAGGTGCAACAGCTAAATTGATGCCATACCATGGATGTGTCAATTATGAATATAAATCATAGGAATTCAACACTTACTTTGAAAGGCCAAAGGAAGTTCATGGCATACTTGAATCGACGATCAGCTCTGTATATACAATGAACTAAATCTTCCGTGCATATGATACCATATTTTCCCAATTTCTTTTCAATCATTTCATTGTTAGTGATCGGAATGCGTTGACCCTTGATTTTGGCAAATCCTCTTTTGTAGACCAATTCCCTTACACTCTTCAAGTTAGGATATCCCCAAGTTACATATGGTTCACAAATCCTCAACATATTTAATGTTGCCTAAATATAATAATAAAAAAGTTAAGAAATAATACATAGTATTTACATTAATTAAATTATTACTTTGTTTAATTTGATAAATATTCCATTGTTGATCTGACGTAATCTGAACAGTTGCAATACTTTTTTCACTTTAGGAGCCACTTGATTCACACTAAATCATTATTCATAACAATTTATTAGAAATTATATTCCAATAGATTTAAAATGTAAACATACCCACGAATACGGATGATGAATGCTAATTTTGGTTCAGGAGGAATATAAAAATCACCAGCTTTTTTAGCATTCCTTGCTAAACGGATTTCATCTCTTTCCTTCATTCTAAATTCCTTAACATAAGCTTCAGCGCGTTTAAAATACTTCTTAGTTTTTTTCACGCGTTCTTTACGTTCCTAATTAAAAAAATAAACAATATTATAAATATCAATCTGAAGAACTACGAAAAATAAGTATTGGAAGAATATTTTACACAATTATCTTCAAAGTACAAAAAACAAGTGTTAATAATATATAAATTAATCATAGATATAATACAATAATAATATTTGTTATTGAAATACAGCCTATATACTTTTATTAGTTTCTTATTTAAATCACAAATATACATTTATCAATACAAAAGTACTACATAATAATTTTAGTGAATGTATAATATAAATTCATTACATATGTAATAAATCAAATATTTTGATTTAATGAAAATCAATAAATGTTTCACTGCATTATAGGAAGCATAGATATTTTCAATTAAGTAAAATAAATTAGTTTGCTAATATAGGCAAATAAATACTTGTTAAAATACAAAATAATAATAAAAAAAAATTTAAAAAATACTATAAAAATGCAGATGTGCGTAATTTAACAATAAATCACATTATTATATACTTGAATAAGTTGTACAACAAATTCAAGATAAAATTAAATAAGTTTGATTTAACAGATACCGATCAAAATGAAAAAAAATAGTTAGTTACCAATTATGATCAAAAAATCATTGCAAGTAAATACCTAATACAAATTCAAATATTTCTACTGGTTATTAGACTAAGTAAATAATTTGAATATTTTCTTCACTAGTTAAATTAGTGCAATTTAAATTGTAAAATAAAGTAAATAAATGTAAACTCAATAAGATAAAATAGAATGAGAAAAAAATAAATATTTAACGACAGAGTAAATTTAATAATACTGTGTGGTTAAGTTATAAGATCAAAAACATATGAATCTATATAAAATACAGATTTAACTAAAATATTTTAAGAAAATTAAGCTGTGAAGACTAATTTAAATTGATAGGAAATTAAGTTTTATTTTTTACACACCTCAATAGCTTTCTTCAATGATTTAAGTTTGAATGCTGTACGAGCCTTACGTCTTTTGAGTACAGACTCCGGCACCGCCGGAAGCCTTTTGGGGGCACTGTAAACATTAAATAATGGTCATTATAAATATTTCTTATTAACATTATGAAGACAAAAAAATCTTTTGCATTGGTCTTCATTAAAAAATAAATGATAAATAATATATGTTTAAATAACACTTTTTCAGAATTCATAAACAAATTCTGAATATGTCTTTACGTTAAATGGATTAATATGGATAAAAATTATTACTCATTGTCATCAACCATTTTTGCAGAACGGGATAGAAACTAACGACACAACAAGTAAACTGTAAATACAAGTTGCACTAAAATGAATGATCCCGTGTAGAAAATTGAAATTGAATTTTTAAGGTTAGTATGTTAGTTATACCAGTTATACCGATAATCACGAGTACAGTGTGACCGTTTTAATCGCGTTTAACTAATGCACTGTTATGTGTTATCAATTATAAGTTATAACATTGATCTTATACAAGCAATAAAAGTCAAAAATAGTTCCATAAAGATCTTTTCAGTGTTCTGCGGAACTTAAGTAATTTTTTTTAAATTTTCAAGTGAATTACTTTAAAATATCTAACTAAATATTAGTAGGGGAAGAAAATGTTTTTAAAAATGTATCAATAAAGCCCATTACATGAAGATTAGAGATCTAATCTTTAATCTTCATGGCTCAATATTAAGAATATTACTTATTAATTATTAATAATCATGGATATCCGTGGTAATAATAAAAATTAAAAAGCAATTTCACTTATCTCATTAAAATTAAAATTTACTTAATTAAATTCACCCAAGTATTATTAAATAAAATTATTAATATTTTTGTTTTTTTTTTTTAACATATTTTTTGAATTAAATATCTTTAACATATTGTTATTATACGATATAATTATTATTTGTATTGAAAATAATTTTAAAAATAAAGTGAGGATTCCTCGATAAAAGTGAACATCAAAATGGGTTTCATGGATAAAAATGCTTAAGATATGATGGTTTAAAGTTTTAAGAGGGCGTCACAGTAGGAAAAATCGACTGTAAAACATGCTTTCGTACTTCCAATAGTTCTCAGGCCTCGTTGATGGTAGAAACATGGTTTTGGTATAAAAATAATCACGAGAAGTTGTACTAAATATTCTTGGAACAGAATTTTAAAATATTTTTTCTAACCAATTTTATTTGTGTTTGAAGTTTGTAAAATTTTCATTTTTTTTTTAAAAATTATATAAAATCGGCAAATTTAGATATCAAAAATCTGTTCCAAGAATATTTAGTACAACTCCTCGTGATTAAAAATTAAAATACTTAATACGATTTGGTATCACAATTCACCTCCACAAATTAGGTTAGGTTAAATTTGATCCGTATTTTGGATATTGTATTTCGCTACCAGAACGGCAATAAACAGAGCAATAAATGTATTGATTTTAATGATTTTATAATAATGTGTTTTTTATTTTTTTTGTGAGTTCATTATGTACACGACAAAAAAATCGATGAAATGCTTCGATTTTCAACTTTGAAGAGGGTTTTTGATAAAAAGATGAATTTAGTTTGTACTTAAAGAGGTTTAAGTCCCGGTACCTATTTTTTAAAATAAAAAATTAATATAAAACAAGAATTTTAACAGAAATCCAATATTTCATAAAATTGAATTTGTATTTTTACCATTTTTGGTATAACTAAGAACGAATAGCCTTAAATATACCATACCTACATGAAATTATTACCAAATATTTTATCATTTCTTATTTACATTAAAATTTCAGAAAAATGTATAATATAAACATTATAATATGACGTCTAATTAGAAGTATAAAGTTCGTACCATACTTACAGACATTAATAATTAACGAATGCCGATATCAGTTTCGATAGTGAATGTACTTATCAGCCATCATGTATTATTTTTAAAATGCATCAAATTAAATTATTGTGTCATCAAACAGTAGTCGACATGTGGTTCGATAATAGTTTTATAATTTTAAAGACTACACCGCTATATCATACATCACAAAAAATTAATTTTGATATAATTACTTAAAATTTAGAAATATGTTACTTTCCAACATTACCATTAAGTTACAACTTGAATTACTATAATATTAATACTTTGTTAAAAGCTTTTATTACCTGCTATATACACAAATATATATACTTATAATATGAGTTGATTTACATAGAATTAATTAAGTCAATAGTCATTGAATGTAACTATCTTTATTTTTTAATAAAAAAAATGACAGAATTAATTCACTTAATAAAGTCTTGTTTGGAGTAAGGGTTAAACTGCTTAGGATATTCAACAAAAAAATTATGGAGAATTATTTAATTTGTTACTAATTAAGGAATTCTATGTAAATTATGATTATTTAAATAAAGAAAAACTATCATTTTTGTAATAAAAGTGTATTTTTTAAAATTCCATAAATTATAATCTTGATATAAATAATACTATAAAATTAATGTTTGGCAAGAATACTTATGTAAGAATTCAGAAATTCAAGTAATGTAAATTGTAAAACAATGTGTCAGAAATTAAAATTTAGAAAAAAATTTAATTTTCAGATAGTATTAAATTTTAAACAACAATAGACATATTATTTTTTACAATAAATTTATATATTATTATTTATCGGTGCAACTCGTTTGCGCACAATCTACATTTTTTACCTAGATATCGATGACTCGTTTGCGCACAACGAAATCAGTCGTTTACCTGTAACGGACGACTCGTTTGCGCACAACATAAACACTGAGTAACATATATTTTATATTTTTAAATTTGGACTTACCTAAAGTAATTGAATTATCGGTAAAAATTATCAGTACAAATTACCAGCATATCAATAATCAATATATATCGATTTAAAATAATCGTCGTGTATTAGGAAAGCATAATACTTTTAAACAGTCGTTCGCCAGAAAGCTGTACTATAACAACTGACTATATTGACTATGGATATCGAAATTTGTGATGTTTTTGAAACGCGTCGAGGAAAAAAATGTTTAAACATAGAAAATTATAAATTTAGAGAATTCCGAACTTTAAAATCTGGTGATAAAAATTTTAGGTGTACAAATAAAAATTGTTCCGTAAGTGCTGTAGTTAGGTTAGTTAATGAATCATATAAAATTTTAAAAATTACAAACACGCATACCCATGACGAGTACGACGACCGAACAATTCATCGAGAAGTAGTAAGAAGCAATTTGAAACGTAGAGCCGAAGAGGATTTACATATTAAACCAAATAAACTAATACGCCGGGAATTGAAAAACAACGAAAAATCTGAACATCTTCAATATAGCGATATGAAATTAATTCGAAGATCCATGTATGAAAAACGAAAAAAATCCTTTCCAAACATACCGAGATCTTTAGAAGATGCTAAAAAACAATTAGTTGATGATCAGCATAATATTACTTACAAAGGTAATAAATTTTGTTTCGTTAGTGATGATGAAAATATATTTATATTTACATGTAAACAAAATTTGGAATTGCTACAAAGTGCAGAACACGTTTTTGGGGATGGGACATTTTCATTCGCTCCGAAATATTTTGTTCAACTTTATACTATTCACGTATTTACAAACAATTTTTATGTTCCTGTGGCATTTTGTTTTTTAAGTAACAAACATACTGATACTTACATCAGTATGTGGAAAACATTACAAAATATATGTATTCAAATTACTGGTAATATAATAAATTTAAGCAATTTTCATGTCGACTTTGAAAAATCTGCGCATAATGCAGTATTGCAAATTTTCCCTAAATGCAAAATCATGTGTTGTAACTTTCATTTAGGGCAAAATTGGTTTAGGCATATTCAACAACATAAATTATTATCGAGCGAGTACTTAAACAACGACTCAGAAGTTGGAAAATGGATGAAATGTTTTTTTGGATTAAGTTATTTACCCCCTGACGAAGTTTCCGATGGATTTTGTGATCTTATGTCAATAGCACCAAGTACTACGTCTAATATTTCTATATTTTCCGATTATATTTTAGAAAATTACATAACATCGGACAGCAATTTCCCTCCAACATTATGGGCTTGTGAACCTACTAATAATCCTAAGACTACTAATGGTGCCGAGAGTTATCACAAACAATATAATAGTCAGTTTTACACTGCTCATCCGCACATACATCAAGTAATCGACGTCATTATTGGAATTCAAAGTGACACTGATTTAAAAATTAATTCGATAAACAATAAAATCATGAATTTCAAAAGAAAAGAGACAATTAATAAGGAGATACAATTGGAAAACATTTGGAATGAATATAAAAATAATATTATTAATCGTTTAACTTATATGAAGAAAATCGGACTTAAATGTCACCATTCTAAATTAGTATAATTTTATAACTAATAGACTACTATTATTACTTATTAAACCTACAATGCATGTTTTTTAATATATTTTAATTTTTGTAATATTAAAATCATATTTATAATAGATATATCTGAAGGTACTTACATATGTGCTATAATTATAAAACAAAAAAAAATTAAATATTCATGTAATTTTATTTTTATTGTGTAAATTAATAACGTAAAGTAACTTTTATTTTTGTACTTTTTTATTTAATTCAATATATAAATTTTAAATTAATAATTGACAATATTGTTTACGCGTATAATCATTGACGTTATTATTACTTTTATCTGTATTATATTATTGTATATATATCTTATTCTCGCCGATATCTGGTCGATCGATGTTAAATAATATAATAAATACTTAGAAATTCAAAATAATTAAATCTTAATTTATAAATTAATTTTTTTTATATACAATATGTATATATATATTATTATTTTATACAGTCTATTAATTAATTATAATTAAGCAAAATAAGGTAAATGTGCGCAAACGAGTTGTACCTTTATTATTTAAACCTAAAATATGTGTGCGCAAACGAGTTGTGATTTTGTGCGCAAACATGTTGTAAAAAAGGTAAATGTGCGCAAACGAGTCGCACCCTTATTTATTAAACTATTTATTTTTATGCTGTCACAAATTTTTAAAAAAAAAATTTCAAATTAATTTTTTAACACCTTGTTTACACATAAGTATACTTCCTTTATACTTTAAAGTAACAATATAATAAACTGATTTATTTACTAATATAATAATAATATGAAATAATTATTTACATAATGTATTTATATAAAACTGATACTATAATATAATTTATCAAATATATCTTATTGTATGCATTGAATTAACAACTTTAATAACCTCCATATTTTTCCTGTAAATAAAACACATAATAGTTATTTAATAATCAGATGCGATAAAAGTTATATGTATATTTAGTTATATACACATGTAAGTAATTTAAATATAATTTGTTTAATACTTTACCTGAAATGATGACATCATGCCATTAGCCAAAGATGATAATTTACCAGCTACTTTTGTTACACCTTGTTTAACACTTTCTTTAACATCATCTAAATCTGGTGGTTGGTATGTGGAATTGACACCTGTAATTTCTTCTCTGCCAAATAATTCTGCAGATGAAATACTATTACTTCCTTCAAAACGTGAAAGATTTGATTTCTCAGACTACAATTAAAATATAAATTATAGTTTAAAAACATGATTAAAATATCGCAGCATTTATCATTTCAGTTTTAATGAATACTCAATAGATATTAGATAAATAACAATATTTATTCATACAATATAAATACATAATAAATTATATAACACTATAACATACATATAGTAAAAGAAAGATAACTTTTAACAGCTAATAGATTTGTTTTTCAAAGTTTCAAATATTGTATGCAAAAAAAATTTTATATAAGCATAAAAATTATAATTCATAAATTACTAATTATAATCATACAAAATAAATAAAATAGAAAGATCATTACAAAATTACATAAGGTAGTTATAATTAACTATGAATTAAATTGAGTATTGAATACAGTGTAAGATAAAATTTAATAAAATATATCAGATTGTAAAAGAATTTTTAGAGGACACTTCACCATAATATGCTTTCTCTCCATCTTACATACATAACAATATAACATAGTAAAAACCATTTTACATAGGCAAGAACCATTGAGGTTGTAATCCAAACTTATTTTCAATGTCATAATCATACAAATATTATGGAATTTAAAATAATAAGAATTTTTTTGTATTGGTGATATTAAAAAATTAAAAACAATATTGCAGTTAAAAATCCCCTTTTTCTAGTGTGAAAACTTGGATACTTAATTTGGACACCAGTCTGGGGGATTCTTTATCGAATGAAACGGTTTTAACTATTTTGTACGTTTTTAAGATGAAGACACATGCAGATGAAGCGTCCTCTTAATAAGTAATTTTAATACTAAAATGTTTCATTTTAAGTAACTATTACCTATTATATTTTATTTTTTCTTTGGGATTAGAGATATTTTGGTGTCAGTTTAAATGAATATTGAGAAGATAATTTAATTGATTTGAAGATTGGCCATCTCAAAGTACAACTTGAATTGTATTATAATATTAAATTGATATACTACAAGTAAATTACTTTATAATATTTATTATTATTAAATTAATTTATTCATACTACGTAAAATATATTTATGGTGGAATCTTTTTTAAAACCTTTTTCTATAAATGATTTAATAACATTCCAAATTTTTTTAATGCTAATTTAATATAAAATAAATAATTTCTATTGCTTTTGTTACATTAATTATTTTTATTAATATAAAATTGCACAACACAACCAAATACCTATTATTTTTATAAAATTATCAGTGCCAAGCTGAAACAATATTTATATTTTAACTATCTTATATGTTATAATAAACATAACTTACTTGTGTTTGATTATCACCAAAATATTGAGTAGATGATATTGATTTAGCTCCACCAAATTTTTTATAAGCTTCATTATTTTCTGCAGGCTTTGGCACTAAATTTGTTGATCTATTAATTCTACCTTGTCTTCTATTGGAGTTTTCATTAAAAGAGTCCCAATTATCATTTTCAGCTTCTTTGTTTACTTTTTTAGCTGGCTTTATATTATCCCAATCATTTTTAATGACGTCAATGTTGGATGGAGTAAATGATAATTTTGAAGTTTTAATAGAATCATCAAAATCCATAAAGTCATCACTGGTAATTTGACAGTTTCTGTTTAAATAAATAAAAAGTAATTCTCCATAGGTCCAAAGATTATTATTTATTATTGTTTTATTTATGATAGCCAGGGATCTCCCCCCCTTAAGAAGTAATATAGAGACTGAGATGTTTTATTGTTTAAGTTAGTTGGTTTGGAGTCCTGCGTCATAGTGATTGTCTCGAGCAGATGTCCTGAGACCGAACTGTTATTTTTTTAATAATTATAAACATTTGATTAAAGTGATACTAGTGTTTTAATTTATAGTTCTCATTTTATTATCCACTGTTGACTATTAAAGTGGAAAATAGATAACAGCAATTTAAAACAGATTGACCGAAAGTGTAGAAATATAAAGAAAAAAGCATTAATGTGAAAAAATCATGAAAATATGCATTTAAATACCCTAACCTGTAAAAAATGAAAAAAATAAGCAAAATTAGATTTTTTATTGGTAGTATAAATAACATATTTTAGTTAAATCCTTTTTCTTATATGATGTAGCAAAACAAACATGCAAAAGCATTAAATTTACAATCCTGATTACAATAAATTAAATAGTGAAAAGGATATGCAATTGTTTTTATTAACTAAAATTATGAACAATAAAAATGTTTAAAAACTTACCAATACTTATAGTTTTAAATTATACTTTTAAAATTATATTAATTATAAATACTTTTATAATTTAGTATAACATGGAAGTTAAATATTTTAGATTCTGAATCAAGGTACAAATTACTTTATTTAAGTGTATTGTAATATTATTACAAAATAAATATTCAAATCTTACTTATTCATCATTTTTAAGATAATTTCAGGAGTTTTATCATCATCAAAACAATCATAAAATTGATCATCATTATGGTCTAATGTAGTTTGTTTTTTTACTTCTTTATCTAGTGTCATCATATCATTTAATGCTGAATGACTAACAATACTATTAACAAAATAATAATAATTAACATTCATGCAACTCTAATTTACTTATAGTTCAAACATTAAACATACTTTTTTGAAGTAAATCCCATACCAAGTCTTTCTAATTGAGCAGCTTTTTTAGGATCAACTTGTTTTAATTTTTCCTCTTCTTTACTCTTCTTTAAACTCAAATCATGATATGCTAATCTCATTGATGACATCTAAGGTAATTATAAGCTCAATTTTTTAAACTATAAATCTGGTTACAATAAAAATAGATATTAAATGTTATTTACCTGAGTTTCTTGGTCTTCATTGGATTTTTCTATGTTTACTGTTTTTTCTGGTTCGTTAAACTTCATTTTATCAGCTAATTCTGCTTCTTTTTCAATATCAGCAAAATTAGCATGTACTTTCTGAGCACCCATACCTAATCTTTTTCCTCCCAACTAAAATCAGATATATTAATTTTATTTTATAATAAAATATTTTTATCAAAAATTTTCAATAATTATCTATTTTTACAATTTATACATTAAAATAATTAAAACACAATGTACTAAGATGATCTGACAGTTACAATATAAAATAAAATTTAAATATTAATACCTTATGATACATGCTGAATATTAAATAGTAATTTATATATTTTGTTTTAATAGAATTTTTTTATTAAATTTATAACTTATGTCACAGAGGTATTACCTTTAGTATCGATATACCAAATCAATATATTTAAACACTTATTTTATTTTCCCAGCAATTAATAAGAAAGTTCAATTAAATAATATAAGTTTCAATTTTTTTTTTTATTATATTTAGTTTTTTAATTTTTCAAGATAGCCATTTTAATCAAGTGTTGAAAAAAATATACATATTAAAATTGATTAGAAATTGAACATAAAGTAAATTAAGTTTTTGGTTTTATAACAATATAAAAATAATTTTGCCAATACAGCAATGTTTGCATAACACAAATTGCATGATTTAATCAACATTAATGGAATTTTTTTAAGAAGATTTGTCAGAAAAATTATTTATCTCCAAGAACTGACCAATCTTATATAGTGCCCATTCACAAAGTTGTAAATGCATTTTTTCATTATCTGAATGACACTGTTGAAAAAATTTGGTTTTCTATTTTTGAGTTATGTTCTATGAAGTGACATTTATTTATTCTAAATTGCATGCATTAATAACGTACAAAAAGTTTTAGATATAGCTACACTTCTAAAAATGTTAATGGTATCATCAAAATTTATTTTACTCTTTAATCTATTTGACCTATTTTATCATTGACATTATAAAAAAGTTAAAATTATGTTTTTGAGAAAATTAGAAAATCAAGAAAGAAATAACACTATACAAATTAATATCATGTTTTATTTTATGTTGAAAATTTAAAAACTAAATTAAATAAAAATTTGTTTTAAAAAAAATGTTGATGCAGGACTTCTTGAATATATTGTTTACTTACACCAGATCTTTTACTGTGTGCTTGACGACCTCCTAATAAAGATTTATGATCTATTGATTTCTGTACTACATCATTTAAAACTTTAGTACCTTCTTGAAAAGTTGAATCACCATTATCCTAAAAATAATATACTTTTTAAAACTTCTCAATATAAATGATAATTGTAAAGGCTGTATTATACACATACTTGTTTAAAGGGCATAAAATTGTTACTTAAAAAATTGTCATTACATGAATTAACATTAGTTGTATGTTGTTCAAAAAAATCTATTGGTTTCACTTCAATAGTTTCGTGCGATTGGTCCAAAAATAACTAAATATAACATAAAAATTAATGATTAAGGCCCCTGCAAACAAGTTATGTACATGCTATTCTTTCATGAATACTGATACTGTTTATAATTGTGTTTGTAATATAATAACTTACATGAGATATTTAACATACATATTATATTGTATTGAAATGCATTTATAATTTAAGCAAATCAAAATATTAAATACCATTTTATTAAGGTTAAGTAGCTTATACCACACAGATATTTTGGATGTTAAAAGTCAGTATAATGAATATATCATATACTATTATAATATCATTGTACAAATACAAAACTATAGTTCATAGTTCTATAGCTAGTTTACTATGAGATAGTTATGGAATTTAATTTAGATATTTTTTTCATAAAAAATAACATAACAATACATTAATAAAACTTCTTAAGGGATATAAAATACCTGTGTTCCATAGGTTTTCATTGCTTGTTTAGCACTTTGTAAGAGTTTATCTCTATATAATTGAGCAGCTCTGGAATTATATTTTTGTTGTGCATCTTTAGACATGCAATTATGTTGCCTGAAAAAAACTGTCTACAATATACCACACACACACACACACACACACACACACAAGTTATAAGTATATAATGTTAAAATTATTGAGAAATAAAAATTAAAGTAATTATTACAGCATTTGAATTTCCGCCTAATTGCATTTGCCGCAATTGCAACCATGTCCAATTTGTGTCTAGTTGAGTAGATCTTACAAAAGTCAAATGAACTCCCAAGCTCCTATGTACTGCAGAACAATCCAAACAAATAAACACACCATATGTTATACTTGACCATGTTGGATTTTTTGAATTACAGTCAAAACATGTCTGAAACAGTTATTATTATTTTTTTATTTAAATAAACTGGTATCAACACTGATCATTGGGTTAAATTAATAATATGTATTTACATGCTTGTATGTAAAATAAAAGTACAATAATGCACAAATCATAATAATAAAATTATTTAAATACTATGTGATAGGTAGGGTAATTTTATCTAATTAAATATATTAGTGGTGATACATTTTACTTAATGAAGTGAATGATTCTGAAAGTATAATATTTGTACTTAATTAATCAATATGTATTCAGATTTATTAAGCGTCCTTAATCAATACTATAAGTTTATTGGAACACATTATAATTATTGTTAATAAATAAAAATAAACTTTGGAAATCATACTTTTGTGAGTTCAAACAATGTACTAAGAGAAACCATAAGCATCTACAAAACTATATGCAATTAGTGAAATAATTGAATCAAGAAAAATAAAAATTTTAATATTTAATAAACATGAATGATTTTATATAAAAAATCAAAAAATTTTTTTTGTAAGAATCATATTAGGTACATACAATACCTATCATCAAATAAAATGCATATTTTTATATTATACTAAATTTAAATATAAAAATGATATATGCACTTATAAATTCTTTGATTATTTAATAATATCAGTCAATGATCAAGTTAAGTTCTTATGTGTCATGTAAAATTTATTATCAACTCATATTATAATTGTACATTAGGTATACACATTAAAGTGTCTAATAAAATCTTTTATTAGATAGTAAAGTAGATTAAATATTTATTTTCAACTCTTTATATTATTATAATAGTCAATAGGTTTTATTTATCTTACAGTAATATTTTAAATATATTTACTTTATTCATTGGCAATGCTCTAAGCCGTTGAAATACAACTTCTATGTCTTCACTGTTAACTTTTGCTTCAGACATATTGATATTTAAAAGTGGTAACTACAACAGTATTGTATAATTTATACTATATACAAGAAGTAACAAATGAATAATGAATGATCCTATGTCACCTGTAATTACGTCAGTGAATATAAATGGTAATAGTGTAAGACAATTTTAAAACAAAATAACTTTTTGTTGAATACGATAAATAATTCATTTGCTATATTATATTATTTTAATAAAATCTTAAACCTTGAAAAGTTGTAATAAATTTTAATAAAATTATAAACTTCGGAAAATGAGAAAGAGAAACTAATTTATTGATAAGATGAAATAGAATCTCAAATACATTCAGTATGACCGGAGATGACGTTTACCATGATGATGTCATCAAATAACAGAATATTTTCAATTTTTATTGGAAATTTGGTACAATTGATCATTATCAAATTTTGTTATCAAATACATATCACAAGTCACAACGTTTTAATTATAACTTATAAGATAAAATTTAAAATAATGAAATTTATTTAAAACTTGAATAGTAAAAAAGGTATACTAAATAGGTACTATGAGCACATAAATCATAATTGACTAAAATTTGCTACATGAAATTATAGTATTATACCATATATTAAAGACTTACTAATTTGAACATGTAAATAGAAATTTAACTAAAACAAATCATTAAATTTTATACTTTATTTTAATTTATATCATATGCTAGATAAAAATACATAAATGAGTAAGTATTGATACTTTTATTTGTAATTTTAAGTATAAAGCTTCATGTCTTGACAAATTTTAAAAACTAACTGGGGCCTTTAAATATATAGATTAACTATTAACTATTATTTCTTAAGTTTAAAACATATATTTTACAATTATGAATGTGACTAATTATGCTTTAAAAATATGTTCACTTTAAAAATTGATTTGTATTAAAAAAATTAATTATATTTTAAATTTACATTGTGTTTGCAATAAAAAAAAAAACAACCTTTATACATTGTGATATTGAATATATTTTGTTAATTTTTTTTTCTTTAATAGGAAAATGGCATTATTTAAACTATTTGGTACAAATTTAAAAATAACTACCAAAATTATTCAAATGACAACAAGATATAAAACCAAAAATTATAATGCTGTTTATACTAAATTTTATGAAATAAATCCCTTAAAATTAGTATTTCCGTTTCAACAATTTCATAGGAAATATTGTTTTCATTATTTTAGAGGAGATGAAACTGATAGTGATTCTGAGGATATTGAACAAAAACGAGACATTAAAAACATTATATTACAAGATGATAATGATATACTAGCAATAAAAATAAATGAATGTAAATCTTTACAAAATATTTTTGATCTATTGCAAAACAACAATGATCAATTGAATTGGAAAAATATCTCTATGGCTATAGCAATGGTTAGAGAACTTCAAATAATATATTATAGAGTGTGCATGTTTGAAAAAAATTTTAATTCTTTTATCACTCCTGAGGATAGTTTTGAAAACATTTTAACAAATAATGATTTTTTGAACTTGATGAATTTAATGGAAGAACATTATGAGTTCATGAACATCCAATGCTTATCTTACAGCTTATTGTGTTTACATAAAATAGGAGTTGATATTAATAGTACAGTAAGTACTAAACTGTCACATAGACTACAAAAAATATTATTGAGTACTCCTGTAGAAGAAATAGAATCTTGCATACTATCCAGATTTACAGTAACAATTGTAAGTCATAGAGATCTTGTGGGTCTGTATATTCTAAAAGACATTTGGCCAATAATTTTAAAAAAAATAAGTAATTTAAATATATTTACTAACTTTAAAAAATATTATTTAATTTTATTTATAACTTATCATTTGTTGTCTTAGATTTATGTAACACTTATGAAGATATTAAACATATTTCTATGTGTTTATTCAATTTGCCATGGTTTTTAAACAAATCTATCATGGATGATTTTGTTACATTAATTGAACGCAATTTGTTGAACAAACCTCAACACAATGATAAAATTAAATGTATAGTGAAAGTGCTAAGGCTTATAAATAGTCCTTACTGGATTAATCAAAACATTAATCTTTCTAGATCTTTGTTGCTAAATTTACAAGGGGCTATTAGACATGTAACACTTTATGATATGATACAGCTACAAATGGTATACCTAGTTTACATTTTTATCTAAAATTGCTTTTTAGTTATTTTTGAAATTAATGATTATTATTTGTTTAAGATTATCATAAAACAATCAGAACCATATCAGTTATTTGAGGAAATACACAACGAAACATCTAAATGGCTATCTAAAACAGATGTTGATACTGATATTACTGTACTTCGATTGTTATCTTGTATAGTACCATCTTCATCTGCATCACAACGAAAACATATAGAATCCTTAATAAGAAAACAATTTTTGTCACACAATAGTTTTTCTCAATTATGTATTGGACCCCTGTTTAATATTATTAGAAATCTAAAAACATCTGATATACAAATTTGTAATGCATATTGGTCAAGTGTATTGGATTGGCTCATATCTGGGAAATCTTCAATTCGTGAACATCATAAGCTATTACGAATATGTAACAGGTTAACATATTTAATTTGCATACCTTAGTGGCATGATAAGATTGAAATGAGTAGAGGAATTAATTATTATTATTATTATTGTTTTTATGTTTTGTTAGTTTAGAAAATTTGTTATTTTTTTTTTTTTTTTATAGATACATGAACTTTAATAACAATATGTCTGGAACATACAGATATTATAAATTTGAAAATCAAATGATCAATTGGTTAAATGAAGAATTAGATCAAGGGATATCATCGATAATTCCATCCAAATTTAGTAAAATATTTTCATTTTTTATAAGTTATCCTAGTAAAAATATTGGGTATGAAGTGCCTGAAGTAATGGTTAAAAAAGTATTAGATACTGTTGGTCAATATAATATTTATGATTGCTACATTATTAGTAGAGGTCTGAATACAGCATTTATAAACCGAAAGAATAAAACATCATTACCAATATTCTTAGATCAATATGTAAGTAATGTTTATTTATTTTATTTTAATATGTAGTATTAATTAAATACCTCTTTTTGTACCAATTGCATTCAATATATTCTTTCTGTTAGGAATCAAAAATAATATTATTAATTAATATACTAAAATACTAAAATAAATAAAAGTTTTAAGTGTAATAATTAAAACATTATTTTATAATAAGTATAATTCAAGATTAAAATTTGTTCTTAATTGATTTTTTTTCCTACTTTCAGGAACATAATATTTAACTTTCATGGTATTTCATTAGTTGTTGGTGGCTATTGGATATTGTCAATATTTGAAGCAAAGGTAATAAATGTTTATATTTATTCCCTTTCATCCCAAATGTCATAGATTTCAGAATTTTTCTTACAAAAATATACTTGGCTTCAATCATTTCTGAACTCAGAAAAATAATCTTCTAAAAACCGTTTTTTTTTTTTAATTTAGACTTAAACTAATAATTGTTCTTTAAAAATGTTCTGTGTATTATTATTTATTGTTGATGTATAACTTACTACTAAATCAATAAGTTATTCAATTTCATGATTAATATTATAACCCACAGTTATAACATAATTACAATTGATAACCTGAAATTTTACAATAATTACAATGGATGCATTTAGTACATAAACCTGCAATTTATTGATGGCAATTGGTACATTCATTTTACATTTTAAAGCAGTTTATATAGTTCATATGTATATACGTCATAATTATGCTACATTATTTTAAGAAAATTGAATATATTATTGTTTTTCAAAAACATAATTACTTATGTTTTATATAATCAATTTTAATTTTAAATTACTATATATATTTATATGATGGGTGAATGATAAGTAATGCACAATCGCCGATAATGACTTCAAATAGATGTTTAATGTTGTTTAAATCTCTTACAAGCCCTTTCATTTGAACTTACTCAATCATCATAACTATTAACTCCCTAATCTCAGAAATTTCTGTTTCCACCATTCCTAGTGAGTGGTGATCTTAGAACGCGCTTAAAACAAACGCGGTGTTATGATCTATTAAATAATTAATTTTTTTTATGTTCATATCACAAAGTTTTATTGATGGATGACTTCTCCCCCCCGCAAATCCCTGGTTTCTAAAACGATAATTTATTATATTTATTATTTTATGTTTACTTAACATCACTTGTTCTTATATAAAAACTGATATTAACAGATTGTACAAAAAAAAAAATTTAAAATATAGTTATTGTTATCGTTTATAACTAGGAAATTGCGCTTGAATATCACTTGATTTATTTCTAATTAGTACATGTCAGAATGGAGCCAAATTTTAAAGATCTAATGTAAACTATTAAACAAGCTGTAATAGAATTTTAAGCTGCCAAAAATGTTAATTCGATAGTTTACAAACTGTTTATGGTAATGAAACTATAAACTGAAGCACAGTATCTCGTTGGGTATCAAAACTAAAATTATCTGAACTTAGTAAAATAAATATTCTGAGTAAATATTACGATAGATGACCTATAACTTTTATAGATGAAACCCATTGAGAATTAAGGTGAATGAACTTATCAAAAATGACAGCCGAATAACCCAAAACCACATTGTTGATATTGTTGCTATGTTGCAAGAAAGTGTTGGTTCGTGATTCAGCAACTTGGCTATCAAAAAATTTGCGCTCATTGATTACCAAAAATGTTGATGCAGGAAAACAAAAAAAATCGAGTTGAGTAGTAAAGAATTATTGACTTGTTAAAAATTGTGACTAGTTTACAAAGTTGGGTGCATCACTATTATTCTGTAGAAAAAAAGTAGAGTATGGAACATCATCATGTCGCTTCTCCCCAGCTCAAAATGTTCAAAGTTCAGCCTTCTGCAGGAAAGATTATACTTATAGTATTTTGAGATAGAAATCAAGTTTATATTGTAAATTACTTGGAAATAAGGACAAGTGTAAACTTTGCCCGTTACATTGAGATACTGAGAAAATTAAGTAGGTGTGTATGTCGTGTTCAAGGATCAATTGAGACCATTTTGTTGCAGCATAATAATGCCCAACCTTATAAATCAAATGCAACCAACATTGCTTTTAAACAGTTAAAGTTAGAAGTCATTCAACAACCACCATACTCACCAGATTTGGAACCTTGTGATTTCCACTTCTTTCCAAAACTTAAGAGAAACCTCAAAGGCACTCATTTCATATCAACAAAAATGTCAAGGAACCAGTGAAGTTTTAGATAAAAGAGAGATCAGCTACATATTTCAGTGATGGTATAAATAAACTTATGGCTCGTTGAGAGGGATATATTATATATGTAAATGGTGACTATATTGAAAAATAAAAATATTTGTAGTTAATGAAGTGTACTTTCATGTATATATATATTTTTTTAATTTCAATTGTCTCTCTCCATTCTTGTAAAAGTTCACAATTATGCATTACTTTTTATTTGCCCCTCGCACTTCTAGAATAATTCAATAATTTTTAAATTATTATTAAGGTGAGGCTATGCACTGCACTTAATAAAAGATGTTTAGAAATACTAAATCAAGAACCCAATTTAAATATAAATCAACTAAATTCTTTGTATCGTGGATATAATCATCGACATAATGTTAGAGAACCAAGACTTTTTTATAAAATACTTGAAAGGTAAATAAAGTATTTTTTTTAAATAATATTAGTTTTAAAATGTTTAATAACAAAATATTTTACAGGTATAAAAACTATACATCTGAAGATTTTTCATCTAAGAGTATAAAAGAACTTACTTACAATTTAGTTTCATCAGATTGGTATGATGCTGAGCTCTTAGACAAATGCTTGAAGTATTTCATAAAAAATCACAAATATTTATTAGCTGAAAATGTAGAAAAAATATTAACATTATTTTTTTTATATGGAGTTAATAGTGAAAAATTTATAGAATTTCTACCTTTTGCGACTGAAATCATTAATAGGTAAAAACATTAAGTTTATATTTAGTAATTTACTCTTGATTTGATAATTTATTTTTATTTTTAGGGATAAATATAAAATGTCTGGTTTAAATTTCATGAGAGCTTCACTTGCTTTATGTTATTTTTATAGTCTATCTACATCCATAAAAGATTATTTATTTAGTGTTGAATTTTTAGAAAAATTAGATGATGAATTAAATAACTGTTACGCCAAGGTTAATTGTATTTAAATATTTAAAATATTTTTTAACTAAATTATCACTTTTATTTAATCATATTTTTTAAAAATATTTTTAGGCTACATATCCATTAAAAGTAAGACAATTATTAATGATATTAAATAGAGCTGTTTGTATTGATTATCCAGAATTTGATGTACCATGGTTTCATACTAAGTATTGTGAAGAAATCCAATCATTGGGTACAAAAAAGTATATTACAATATTAATATACAAATAATAATTAATTTAATTATTTATTTTTTAGTTCCTAAACATACTGGTTCTTTTTATTTGGACGTAGAAAAAAAAATAAACCAATTAATTAAAAATAAAGGTTATTTAAAATCAAATTCTTTCTCTCCATATGGATATAAATTAGATTTTGAATTAATTCTAAATGATTCAATACAGTTAAAAAATGCAAATAAAAACGAGAAGTAAGATTATATTTTTTTAATAATTCAAACCATTATACTTAATACTTTTTCTACTAGGTTGGTTTTACTTCTTCTGAATGAAAAAGATTTGAGGAAGACTGATAATGAAATGAGAGGCCTTTCTAAATTGAAGCAAAGACATTTGGAAATACTTGGTTACAGAGTAATATGGATTAAAAAATCTATATGGAATTCCATGTTTATGACTGAGCCAGAAGCTAAATTATCTTATTTAAAGAGTTTAATTTGGAAAAAACCTTGACAATTTAATGTCAAAGATTTTCTTATTTATTTGAGTATTTGTCCATTGTGAGTACTAAATAAAATATATTCCTATCCAAATACATTTAATGAAATTTAGAATTATACGCTTAGTTATGAATTGGTTTATAACAGCAATTTAAAATTAGTAAAATACAGAAAACTTATCTAAGTTGATGATAGTTAAAAATGAAAATCTTTTGTTAAAAATGTTTTTACAATTTTATTTTTCAATGTAATACATATCTGAAAAATGATTCATTTTATTAATGCCTATTAATTCTTGTATGAATTATTTTATTGTAATTATATAATTTTTATAGACAACTCTTTTATTTGCTACCAGTCTATTTTTACTGAAAGTGAACATGTGACTCCATTCAATATGTTTTTATAAAAATATTTGTATTAATTTTATTACTAAAAATTAAAAACATTTGTCCATCCTTTTATTTATTAAGTTATTATCTGCATTATACTTGACATTAATAATATTGTATTACCATTGATTATAAATATTTTATAGTATTTAATCATCATATTATAATACAAACGGGTTCAAAAATTAAATAACTTTAAAGTTTTGATAATAATTTACTGATTGTTAATAAATAATTCTTATATATTTCAAAAAATATTTTAAGTTTAGCATACACAGAATACTTATTAGAACAGAAACCAAAATTTTATAAATAAAACATCATGACATATAATTTCAAAACAATAGATTAAAATAACATAAATAATTTAAAAATTTTAATTATACAGTGAATTTTATTATTTAAAATAACTTCGAATTCTTGTATAAAATAATACAAAAATAGTTGTTTGACAATTTTTTTTTGTTTTGAATAAGTGGATCTTTGTTTTAAGTGCCTTGGTTAGCTACCTATCACGTAATTGATGGAAAATATTTGCCATAACTCATTCTGGAAATTTCAAGTTGATAGCTAAGTTTCAATGGATTTTATTGAAGCTTATCTTGAAGAATAAAAAATTATTTTACCCATGCTTAAGGTTAATTTGACCCTACATTTTCCCAAAAAATTAGTAATTAAAAATATGGAAAGATTAATTTTCTCATTTAAGAATTCTAATTAATAAACGACTATGGTTAAAGGATATTGTAAATATACACATTACCTACAAAGAATTAATAACATGGCTTACTATTGAACAGTATAGGCAGTGACACTGATGTCGTCTGAAATACCTATGACAAATTTTGATATAGTAGTATACTTGAAAGTAACAAGAAATTTTATCAGGGGAGCAACCAATAATCCAAGACATGTCTATATGTAGAAAATTTGCATTCATTTCTTTTACAATTTAATATATTTATTTACTATGAATAAGGAGGGAAAATAACTACCTGCCTCCCTGACTACACCTTGAGTATACCCATACTCACCTTGGCCAATCAAAAGTTTATTAATTCTCTTTTTACAACTTATCATAAGTAAATTTTCAAATCTTTTGAGACATGATGGTTTGAAGCCTGAGGTGTCTACACCTAATTATCTACTCACTTATATTCTCTATAACATTTTCATAGTTGAACCATATGATCGGCACTACTGAGTAAAAATAGCTAGGTATGTATTGAAATAAAATATCAAATTCAGTAAAACCTTATTAGTTACCTATTTTAAAAGCATTAAAATTAAAAGTAGGTACATAACAAATAGGGTAACTATAGAAAAGTGTTAAGCCTCCCCAAATTATATTTAAATATAAAATTAAAACTTCCCTAAAAAAATCTTGGTTATAATATGTACCATGTACAACACAATACATTAAAATATCAAAGTTTATCATAATTCATAGATGTTTATTAGTAGCTAGTACTTTATTTTATTTAAATTATAGTTAATAATATATCATCTTATAACACATCAATTTAAACCTTTTATAAATGTTTGTTTTAATTACTATATTATGATACAATGATAGGTTTGAGGTCATAGGTACGTAATGAATGTTGACACTTAACGTGTAAATTAAAAATCTTTTAGAAGCTTTGTCTATAATCTATATTAAATAAAAACAAATATATAAATTACCTGTATCAAAATATCACCACTGAACAAAGATAATTACGATAGCAGTATACTATACTACTATAGGTAATAATAATAAATTATTCTATATTTCTATGTTAATATTTCACATATTCACATGACAAGTTAGAACAACATACAGTGGCGACTCTTGTATATGTATATGTGCAATACCTACCAAAACTCAAGAAAAATTGAAAACTTAAATCATTATAAAACAACTAAGTACCTGTAGTATTATTAAAATTATTTTTCAAAGTATAAAAATTAAAAATATAAATTCAGAATATTATGAAAATAAATAATAATATAATATTTGAATTGGGTTATTTCGACGGCCCAACAGCTGTCAGCCGGGCGGTTGTCCGCGAGACCGCGACATACTAGTATCGGTGTGTATTATAGTAATATAGTATATACAGTATACTACCTATATAATATAGTGGACAGCGGTGCTGGTGCAGTTGTGCACACAATTGCTGTGTACATTTGTACAGAGTAAAAAATAAAAATTAAAACTATTTAAAACAAGTCGAAACAAGCAACCCGCGTTATAATAGAATAATTGATGTGCACATTCGTTTCTGTAGTGCACATGGTCAATTAAATTGTTTTCTGTGAATTATTTTCGACGTCGACACGTCGTTGAGTGTTGGTATCGACATTATATATAATTTATTTTTACTCTCATTCGTTTATTTTGTTCCGAATATCAGCTGATAATGTTGGTCGATCATTATTCATCATCGGAACTTCAAAACAACATTGGTGTTTTTGTTTTTTATCGACGACCAACATAACGTATATTATTATTCGTGTATTTGTTTTAAAATTTTAAAATTAATTTAGTATAGCAAAGCAAATACTGCAATGCAATTTTTCAACAATCGCGTTGGAGAAGAAAATGGAAATATAAAATAAAAGTAGACCTACTCCAGACTTAAAATTTAAACAAAATAAAAGGTAATTGATACATATATATATATATATGTGTGTAATATATTTCTTTTTCAAAGACAGTAGCGAGAATCAAATTTCTGTTTTTAAGCAGTAAAATTAAGTGTGTATTTTATAAAATAACATAACCTAACTCACTTAACACACACACATTACACACTTATTGGCAGTTTTGTCCGAAGACAATAACAGAGCTTCCCATCGTCCAATCTCCAACCACCATTTACGTTTACCGTAAATGTCTACACCAACTGAACTTTCGAGTCTACAAATACACATATTATATTAAGTGAATATTTCTAGAAGATTCTAATTTAGGTCTAGGAATTATTAAATATTAACTCATTAATGGTAGTAGATATTAGTATGATTATATTTAAACATATATAATCAATAAATGGCATAAATGTACTAAATTAAATAAATTTAAGTGAATAGGTTAATAGGTATTATCTATTATCATGACAATGTAGTCAATGTACGCCTCATTAATTACCTAAATTATCAGTATAAAAATAAAGTGATTATTAATGACGGTTATTTGGAAGGCGCATAATAATATGAGGAGCTATTGTTATATGATATGGGAAAATGTCTTTCGTTACCTAATTGTTAATCAGTAATGTATGAAATATGGTCGATAGTTTTTTGTAATTCGTATAATTAACAGTCATTAAATTGTGTAAGTTCTTGTCCAATTTTTGTTTAAAAATCTTAAAATTGTGTACATATTAATATAACATAAAATTAAAGGTTTACTAATCAATATACAAAATAACTTCTTATACTTTCTTAATATAACAAACAAACTATGAATGTATCGTTTTCTGGATGCGGATTTTTAGGCATATATCACATTTGGGTGGCATCGTGTTTAAAGACTTATGCACCATACCTTTTGGAAAATAATATTTGTGACTTGTCTGCAGATGCCATTTCTGCATATTGTCTACTTTGTGACATACCTCTTGGTAAGTTTTTGAATATTTTCATTAATTTAATATTTTACTTTTAATTATAACCCTAATCGATACAGCCAACTACTAAATTAAGCTATGTATTAAAATATGAACTATGAATTATGAATTTATTATGATACTAATTTACTATAATAATTTTACGTTAGTAATTATTTATATTATTTATAATATAAAATTTTTATGTCCTCATCTCTTAATCAACTGTCCCAAATTATCACCTTTGATGTTGCTTTTTAACACTTCAAATTTCCCCTATAAAAATTATTTTATTTGATTACCCATTATAAATTCTATGAGTGGAGTACTGAAGTGATAAATATATTGATTTTAAAATGAGTAATGACGTATGTTTTTGGAACCTAATATTGGTTAATGGCTAACAGACCGTTAGATACGTTTTTCGTATGGGATACTTAATCATCTATAAATACTGTACAGCAGAGCGATTACCTACTTTTTTTAATATTAGTAATTGTTATTTTTAGTGCAGAAACGACGAGTATGTTCAACATAAACAGATAAAATATCAATGGCGAACCCAGAAATTTTCCATGGGGAGGGGGGCATAGACAGTAAAAAAAAAGGTCATCAGATAAAATAGCTTGACTTAATGATATCTTGTTTAATTAAATGGTAAGCACACCCTCTTGGATCCTACCCTGTAAAATATTATATATTGTATTACCTATCACCTATGACTTTTTTATTTGAGTTATGAGTTATTATTAGTTTGAGTACTAAATAGATACATTTTTAAAAGCTCATAAAGTTACTTTAATCATTATCTTCTAGCAGCCGCGCTGAATCTTTTAAGAATAATACGCCTCATAATTTATTGTTTCAGAATATGTAAATTATACTTAGCTATACAGACATGGGTGCCCATTGATTCAATTTTATGGAGGAATTTAATTAAATTCCTTAACAAAATAACCCATAATCAGAAATTATAAAATTGGCAACGTAGCCCATAAAAACGTTTGCAATCGTTCGTTTTTCAGCTAAAAAACAAATTTTTTGTTAAGCGATATTCGTTTACAATCATGTTATGAAAAAGGTAAAACAATTAATTGCGTTCGCA